AGTCCAGAAATGCCGGTGCCTCATAGGGCACCTGGCATCGAGCCGGACGGTTTCGGCGCGGGCGCCGGGGGTTTGGGCGACCGCAGGGCCCGCGGTCCCCCGGGCGTTCGCAAGAAGCAACCTCTGGGCAGGTGGGGTCCAGGTCGCCTCTACCTGATGTGGTGTTTTGAAGTGCTTTTGTGGACTGAAAGTGGTGGACAACATGAGCCCTTCAGTCACCGGCTGCCACAGAGGGTGTTCGATCGGTATTTCGGAACCACTTTTATCTTCCAGCACCGCCCGCAAAAAAAAAAAAACTGCGACAAGAGAATCCTTCGGTCTGCCTGGTGTTAATGAAAACGGGCTTGTGGCTGGATGTTCAGTTCTTCAATCAAAGCTGGCAAGTCACACCTGGTGTCGTGGTCTTGTCGTGTTTTTTCCTCAGAGGAACTATTTTATGGAAGTGGCTTAGGAAAGGAAAACCAAAGACCCCGGAAAAGTGAAAAACCAGACTGAAACATAATTGGTATGGATGCCGCGGCTTCGGAGTCGCCGGACGGACTAGGCACCTCTTTGCCTGCAGCTCGGCAAGCCTGCACCAGATGCCAATCCTTCAAGTAGAGCAACTGCTTGTGGTCAGAACCTGCTCAAGTTCTGCAACACCCTGCAAACACAAAAAAGGGACTCAACAACTTCAAGCTGCTGCTGTTGCATCGGCAAACCGGGACCTTTTTACCTCCCAGCCCCGGCCTTTGTCCTCTTCTTGCGCCCAGAGCAAGTAGCTGCTCACATCCCAAACATCTGGCGCCTAGCAGGTCAGAGGCATCGAGCAAAAGAATGAAAACCAGGAAGCCCTCTCCAAGATTCCCCGAACCACTGGCACAGTCGACAGTTCTACAATGTAGAACACATGTCCATGTTCTCATCTTCAATTTCATCTAACTCCCGGGCGGTGCCCACAGGACGTGCACCCTGCAGTTCACCCTTCACCTTCCTTCACTCTTCAACCGGCCCTGCGCCCGGCCCCGCGCCGCACCTCGCCCCTCTTCTGGCAATCGGAGACCGGCCCATCACAGCCCTTGAAGTCGGCCACCAGCTGCGAGAAATTCGGCTCCCCCTGCTCGTCACGCCAAGTCGTCCAGCAGGGCCAGGAGGGGACCACGTCCTAACGGACGAGCCGTGGCGGTCAACGCAGCGAGCTTGCGGAAGACTCCTTGGAAACCCCACACACGGCAGGAGACAGTGGCTCCATGAGCAATGATTCATTCAAATCCAGATGACACATGACATGAGTTGCCAGGCCACCAATCACGTCGCCACGCTTTCGTATATATATATATATATGTCAAACTCCTTCCAAACCTGCTTTCGGCTGCCCTTTTTACTAAAAGATCTCAATCGAATGATGGCGGAGGGGCCCAGTTGCTTCAAGAGTGCTTGTGTACTCCGCACTCGCCGGTGCGAGTCACAAGCATTTACCAGGTAACTGCAGGCCTCAGCACCAACCTCCAAGCAGAGATCTTCCATCTGTCTCAACAACTGCAAGGCAGGCTGCCAGCACAGTTCTTGACACGCAGCCGTTATAGCGGCCCGGTAGGTGATCTCGTCCCTCATGGAAGCTGCTGCAAAAAGCTGGAATGCACACAACCAGCTATTGCCCTTTTCGCAAGCGCTAATGCAAGCGTTGAAACTGATCACGTTGGCCAGCAGTCTCTCTGAAGGCATGCTGAACAGCACGTTCAAAGCCCTAGTCCAAGCACCGATCTTCTCGCATGCACTTATGGCGGCACTGCAGCACACCTCGTTGGGTGCAACCGACCCCCGCCGCATCTCCCTCAACAACCGCAGGGCCTTGAAGGGCTGCCGACCCTTCTCGCACGCGCTGAGCGCCGCCCCGTAGCTGATGACGTCCGGACGCCTCCGACTGGCCCCAAGGCGTCCCAGGAGCCGCAGCGCGTGAGGCCACGCCCCGCGACGCTCACATGCGTGGATGGCCGAGTTGTAGGAGACCAGGCTGGGGCGTAGCTCTGAGGCAGGCAGTGCTTCCAACAACTGCCGCGCCTCCGCATGGCGCCCGGCCACCGCCAGCGCACTGATCGCCGCGTTGACGTTCACCACGTCGACCGCGAGCCGCAGCGCTCTCCGCAGCAACTGGAGGGCCAAATGCCAGCGACCTGTGGGCTCGCAGGCGCTGGTGACGGCCGCACAAAGGATGCAGTTGGGAGGGCAGCTCCAGAGCTCTGCCTGCCGCAGGAGTTGCAAGCTGTGGTGCCACTGATGGCGGCAAGCATTGCAAGCAGAGCTGAGGCTGAAGACATCTGGGCGAAGGGTGTGGATGGAGGTCGTTTCAAGAAGCTGGAGTGTGATACGCCATTGGCTCACTGAGCTTCCCACCGTATTGAAGCTGATGAGATCACAAGTTCTGGCTTGACTCAAGTGCTTTAAGCAGCTCGCCCAGGCCAAAGCAAATGCTAAAGCCTTGAGAAATACGTTGAAGGTCACCAAGTTGGTTTGCAACCCATCCTGCCAGGCTGCACGGTAGAGTTGCAAAGCCTGCCGCCATTGGTTTCTTCGGAGCTTTGCGGAGAGCTGCTTGGTCACCTGAATGACATCGGCCTGTGCTGACGCCTGTGCCATCCATGGCGCACCGTGTTGAGGCGCATGAGGGGCTGAGGTTCGCCTGTGCCCCTTCCCACCATCAAAGCCCGAAAAAAGGTAGCTGCAGGTGCGGCGCCCAAACAAATCTGAGACTGGACCAACAAAGAGGCACAAGGGAAGGGCCAAGAGCGGGGGGGCCCAGATCCAAGAAGGGGCCCAGTCAGACTCGGCGGCTGTCAATTCCCTATCCCAACGGGCATACATGAAAATCCATGCACGTCTCAAGAAGGTGTCGCACGTCTGTGATGGGGACCCAAGGGTCTGGCCCAAGCCGGGCCGCTCTCAGCATGTAACTTGGAGCTGTGGAGAGGTATTGGTGAAGGTCTATATAAGGTGCAAGTGGATGCCATCCATGGGAGAAATTCGATCATCTTCGGGCTGCAATGTTTCAGAAGCTCTCACATCAGTTCCTCCACAAACTAGCAAGGAAGCCGCTAGGCCCTGGAAATATCAAGGCTTATTGGAGGACACTGCTGGAACGGGACTGACTGTTTTAGTGTATATTGTGGACTCCTTTATTATATAATAAAGCATCAGATTGCAAAACCGCTCCCGTGTGAGAGAAACACGACACAACCCATGTTGAAAAATGAACCGGCCCAATCAGAAGCACCCCCCTTTCATTGTCCTTCCAACGTCGAACGTTCAGTCCCCAAGCCGCGTGCCATTTGTCTCGCGTGATATGCAAGATGTGGACCACCCAGGAGACGAACTCCAACATCTCACGGCTGGAAAACATGGCTCCAGCCCGAGGCCTTACGTACTCCTTCAGTCCCTCTGGCTCGACCCAGGAACCACGGCAGGAACGTCTGCCGGGCGAGCGGCCGCAAAAGGCCGGGACCCCTGTCCTCCAAGATCACTGGCCGACCAGGAGCGGCATAGGTCTGCAGGAAGTGTAAGGATGACAGACCGCGCCTGGGTGGGAAGAAAGACATCAGCAGATGGATGTTGCAGGATGTTGCAGGATCCACCGATTTCACTTTGAGTCTGGGCTGAACACCCTGCCCCGTGGTTGACACGCCTAAATGCCTAAATAATCAAGTCCTGCGGCGACCATACAAATGCTCTCTGGAGCCCGCTTGTGCATCAACAACATGAACCTTCAACTTTGAGCACACACTGATGGCCTCCTCCAGGATTAGTATATTAGAACCTCTAACAGTGGATATTATGGGTCTTCTACAGGAGCCTGCCTTCACTCCCGATTGAAAAGGAGTCTCCGTGCCACCAGGAGAATGACCAGTGACCAGGCCATCAAAACCTTCCAATCTCTTTAAACCCAACATCTCTTGTTTGAGAGCCTCCACTGACTACTTGCAGTCTGCAGCAGCCATGTGAGACTCAGTGTGGGAGGATGAGAAGGGCCATCACTACATTCCAAACACATCACATGGAAGGGGGAGTGAAGTCCACGCCCTCTTTTATCAGAGGAAAGTGGTCTTCCAAGGGAAGAAGAAGACCATGTGATGTGAGTCCGTCAGACTGCACGATCACTATCACTGATGCTCCGAGCAGCCCACTGATCTTCTCCACCTGCTTCGCCAGCGCCTCCGCCATGGCGGCTTTAAGCGGCAAAAGCCGGCCGCGTCTTGGAGCACGGTCTTGGAGCGGTAGGACGCCAACGAGTGTTCGCCACGAAGTCGCCACCAGGTGGAGTTCTCTCTGCCATTGTTTGGTCAAACACCCACCCAAAACACCGTTTCTCAGAGTTCTGTACCCCTGGGAAACTCCACAGACTTCTCAGACACGGCGGGGGGGTAGAGTTTGGCCAGAACACCAGCCACGGAGCGTCGAACCTGCGGCGCCCAACCCAACTTGTCGGACCCAACGCGTGACGCCACGAAACTTGGCCTCGGGCCCTCAGGGGGGCCAAGTCTGTGAAACGGATTCTTCATCCTTCCTGTCCTTTCCAAAAAGAAACCCTCCAAAAAAGAAAAAAACACATGGGTTGGTGGATGAGGTGGCTCTTTTTTGGAAAAACGGTGTTCGTTTGGCTCTTGAACGGAGCCTTTGCCAACTTGAAAGGTGCGAGTGACCAACTCGAACGCTCAGAAAGCAACAAAAGTTTGGCTTTGTGGTTCTGAACCATTTGTCTGTGGTTTTGGAGACTGAAACTGGAGATCTGGAGATCCGGAGACTGAAAAATCTAAAGAAAGCCCAAAGATCTCGAGACTGAACAAATTCTTTGTGGTTCTCGCCTGTCGATCTGCCTCAAGACGGGGCCACGAGCTGCCAAAAAGTGGCTAAGGCCCCGAACTGAGGCAAGAACTGGTCAGAGTACCACACCCCACCATAACATCTTGCGTGGTTGCCGATGGATGCCGATGGTACCCATCCTGATGCCCAACAAACACTCTTCTTTTTCATCCTTGGCTTTCTTGGATCAAGTAGTCCTGCAGCATGCGGACGGTCGGATAGTCGAAGACCACGGAGGGCGTCAGGGCCACCTGAAAATCCTCGGCAAATGTGGACATGATGAATCTTCTGAATCTCAACCTGCCTCGATCGCTTCGACCCCAAGAAGCCTCGCTTTCTTTCACCACTCCCTCCAAATCATCAAGATCACTGTCCAAGCACTGTGCACTGCATGTCGTGCACTGCACGCCTTTGTTCCACGAACATCGCATTGTTGCACGGTGCCCCAGTGAGACGACTCGCGCCGCTTGTCTGACGCTGAAGGTCCGGCCCACCGATTCCAGGGTTCACCAACCAAACTGGCAAAATCTGTGGTACGAATCGGCCATCTTGCCAAGATCCAGCCATGAAAGGCCGGCAAAAAGAACCGCTGTTCAATTCATTTTGACATTGAAAGGAGGCTGAAAGGCTGAAAGAGGCCTGTAGGCTGAAAATAGGACACCACCGTCCCCGGCCCAAACAATTCCTTCCACCCCTCACGTTCTTTTCCAGTCGCCCCCCCTTTCCACCTGGTTTCACCCCTGCTTTTCGCAACGAGGGTCTCGGTTCAGCATGGAGACCAAAGAGACCCCTGACAAGCTATCCATCCTTGGATTTGCTGAAGTCACCAGGAAAAAGAACCAGCTCAGAACGGGGATTCACCTTCTTTTGTTTCACCTTCGGACCGCTGTCCGTGGTGTTTTTTCAGACCGCAAAAAAAAAACACGGGTTCACATGGGTTCACTCATGGCTCAGGGACAACAAGCCAAAAAAATGAGAAAACTACAATCCAACAAGTCCAACAAGCCCAGCATCCCGGCATCCACGAAGGCGGTGTCCAACTCCACCTCCTCGGCCGAGGCCGTCAACTCCTTGACCTCGGCGGTGGAGGTGACGAAGTGCAGTGGGACCCGGCTTGCCAAGGGTGAAACCTGGTCACACAAGAACCCCGAAAACCAAGAACTGGAGGGTGAAGATGGGTGAAGCTCAGAAGTCTTTGGGTGAACTGAGGGTGATGTCATTCCCCTGCGCGAAACGCCTCCAGCTCCGGTTCCGTTCGTCTGACGGACGCACTGAGCCATATTTCTTCTGAATCATATGCGCACCGATCATAGACAGGATTGAATCAAGGAGTACGGTGGGTGCTAGATCCGTGCTTCTATACAGAACAGAAAAGAGAAGCGAGGCCAGGCCGGGCTAAGTATAGGTCCTGTGAAAGGTTGCAGGCTTCACCTGTTTCGACCTTTGGAACCTTTCATCATTCAAAATCACCCCTCACACCCCTCCAAAAAGAAACTAAAAGGACTGAAAACAAGCCTGGCCGCCATGTTCATCAGCTGTTTGCCCAGCTGCTCCGGATCTAACCCCTTTGATGCACTGCCCTCGGACGGCGCCGCGGACGGCGCCGCGGATGGCGCGGCCGCGGGCGCCGGTGCGGGCGCAGCGGTGGGCTCCGGTGGTGGCTCGTCCTTCTTCCGGGTCGCTGAGTCCTGGACTGACAGGGAAAACTCCGACAGGGGGTTATTCGAACGAATGATCAACGGACTCCTGAGGTCAGAAATCACTGGTGGCGGGGGAGCGGAGCCGGTAGCGACATGCAAAATCCTCTGCTGGCGGAAGGATCCCCAACGGGCAAGCGGTGATTTGGGTTTATAGTCACACTCCCACAAAGTGAAATGCCACTCGAGTCGAGAAAAAGAATACTACAAATTTGGCATTCGTGAGCGAAGGAAACCAGTAGTAGGACTCATTCATAGCTCATGATCCATATCTTGACCTTCACAATCTCATCTGAACCTCCCTTTATCTCCACATGCGACTGCACCAAATCAAACTCCGCGCCAGGGATCAATGAACTGATTCGCCTCCTCCTCCGCCTCCAGGTCTCTCATCCGCATGGCCACCGCTTGTGCACTCTCAGCTGCCCGAAGCGCTTCATCCTTGGCGCCATTGGCCAGGTGGAGCTGAGCAATCAAGAGCCAACATCGTGGCTCCCCTGAGGTCCGCGCAGGAAAGAGGACTGGACCCGTCGGGTCACGCGACTGGACCAGTCGGGGTCCCCACGAAAAGAGGTTCTAGAAAGATGTGTGCCGTGCATGAATGCATATACACATTGGTAAGATATGTATATATGTATATGAGTGTATATATATATTGTATATATATATATATATTGTATATAACTGGCAATTCAATATCACAACAAATGGACTTGGCAAAGTGAATGCTAAGGGCGTTGTTGTAGGGAAAATTTATATATGATTGATATGTCACCTCAACGTGCCTCTCAGATTGACCTGTTCTATCCCACTGCGCCCAAACGGCCCGAGTTACCCCACGGGCGGTCTGCTCGATCCCCGCCTTGCTGGTGCTTCAGCTTCATGCACAGCTCCAGGGCCTCTCTGGCCAAGCTCAGCCCTGCTTCGGGCCGCCCCAACACCCCCAGGACCTGCGCACGCCAGTAGAGCGCCAGGGTCCGCAGACCTCGATCCCCAAGCTTTCCTCAGGTGTGACATGGAGGCAGACTCCGAACCAAGGGTTGGAGGAGGTGGATGGCATGATCAAAAGTAAGACCCTTCCGAAGACCAAGCACGGGGCGAACTCCAGTTTCACCTAACAATTGGTGCTCTTGTGATGAGATGCTTGAATCGTCCTGAACCTGTCTTCATCTCCCATTCCCTCATTCCTCCTCACTCCCCAACCTGTGCGTGCTTTTTTCCTCCCACACTCGCCAGGTGTCCAGCCACAGCCAGCGCCTCCCCCGACCACCGCAACACTTGGCGGCGTTGTCCGAGACCATCACCGTCGTCCTTCAGGGCGACCTCCACCGCCAGCAGCAGCAGCTGCACCAGCCTCGGTCGGTCCCCAGAGGTGCGGCACAGCTGGCAGCCGTCGGCAGCGACCTGCAGGCTGGGAGGATGGAGCCGAGCGACGCTCCGTCCAGGGCGTTCAGGGCGTTCTGCAGCGACCGGAGACCACATGGATCACAGGCCGGGCAAATACACGTTGAAATCAGGAACCTCGTTTTTTTGGGAAAGCATGGGGATCTCTCTTCTGACGACGTCTCTCTGTCCAGCATCTCCCCCATCCGCACGAACGATGTCTCACTCCGCCACCGGCGCCTGAGCTGCTTCCTCTGGATGACCATCTGCCAGGTTCAGCTGGGCCAAGATGTGCAAGAGCTCCGCCTCCCACAGAAGATCCCCCAAGCCCTCACCAGGCTCAAGCACTCCTCAACGTCGCGGCCACGGGCCAACGGCCGCACGGCGGCCCGGTCGGAGACGTACCAGCAGCAACCGCGCCCAGGGGGTGACAGGAATCCTGAATTTACATGTCATCGGTTGGAGGTTCAGGAGTCTCTAAGTGAGTACTACCCATCCCGCTGCTCCCAAACAAAAGCTGGGCTTTAACTTCGATCTACAGTGCACAAGCTCTGGACCCGCGCAGAAAACTCCAGAGAGAATCAGAGAGATAGGGGCAGCTCTGCTAAACATGCGAAACAGGCAAGCTCAACCAACCACGGCTCCACACCAAACAACGCTTTGGGGAGCCCAAACCAACTCGCCCCTCACCAGAGATCTCGTTGGCTGGGGCTCCTCTGCAGCTTGGAGGGCGGCATCCAGGTCGCCTTCCAACTTCCGCAGCTCGGACAAAAGCTTCAACGCCTGCGCCTGCGCCGTTGAAGCTTCGCATGCTCCGGTCCCAAGCGGAAAACCCTGGGGTGGGCGGTCCGAAAAGGTCCCGACCTAAGCAACACAAGAGGCTGGAGCCATATAGTGCAGTATTGGGGGATATATATTATACGTATGTATGTATATATATATATATTTGTATATTATACATACAATATAGCTTGGATGGCTGCTATAGTGACCCCCACATACACACATCTGGCTGCCCAAAAATTGCAGGCAAAACATGCAGCAATAGGCTGTTGCATCTATAGTTACATGAGTTACCTGTATCGTTCCACAAGAACGCCCAAATCAACCGCCAATTCACCGGCCCGACCTCTCGGCCATTCCTGCCTCCCCGACACGGTCCTCCGACGCGACGCTCGTCCTTGGCAAACCCCGAAATGCCCAGTAAACAGGGAAGCGGCCGGTGGAAGAATACCATGAGCGCCCGAGAAGGAGAGGAATCTGAAAAACCTTATCAGAGTCATTAGTCATTATAGATACCTATGGCACGGGTGGCCCATTGACATTAATACACCATTTCATACCAGCACCACCCAAAGGATAAGGATGGTTTACAAACCCGCCTGACCATGAATGTCCCGTCCAAGAACCACCTGCTCCGGGTGTTCTGGACCATGCACCTGCTCCCAAACTCCTTTTGATCTACGATGCTAGCGTGATTGGGGAGCCATGCAACTTGAAACGCTGTGTGGCCCAGTCTGCGTATGTCTCGAAGTGTGGGTGTGGCACATCTAATCCTATAATATCCTATAGATATCAGGTATCTTTGTCCATAGCTGGGGCTATGCATGAAAAAGGGACATGTCTTCCATAGAGTCGTGACTGCCAAGCTAGCTCAACAACCCCACTGACCCACTGAACAAACCTTCATAGCAGCTCCCACACCCAGAACCTGCGTGCGATGATCCATGTGACGCCTTTTTTGTGATCAACCAAAAGATATACGAGCCCTTACGGATAAACAGCCCAGTAGCACCACTTGAATTCCAAGCGGCACCCCAACCACATCAAACACACTCCATCATTCCCCTTGCTGCATCCGCACCACGTTCAGTGTCGAGTCTCTCCTGTGCATCTTTGACCTTCGCCACAGCCTCCGCCAGCGTCCGCGCGTTGGCGGCCGCCGCCGCCCAGCGCAGCGCCGAGCGGACCTCGCCCTTGGAATCGCCGGCGGCATGACCTTTGGAATCGGTTGCGGCGGGTTGCGGACTTGGAGCACCCCAACGAAGAGAAGACCGGAAGTTCTACAAGCCAAAAGAGGCAGGAACAATGGTGGGCAAGAAGATCCAAAGATTGCCAAGAGCCAGTGGGCATTAGAGTCGTCTCGTGCTCGAAACCTTTTTAACATGACCTCTCAGGTCACTGCCCTCGGGCACCGGAAGTGCCGAAATTGCATCGAAACTGACAGCAGAATTTGAGATACAAAAATATCACCTTGCGTGTCTACCACTATTCATGATGTTATTCATGTTCTATGTCAGTTGAACCCATCTCGAAGCAAAAAGAACGGTCGCATAGTCCAGGCCACAGATCTGCCAGGAATCTTCGGCAGCCTGCAAGGCTGCCTGAGGAACGAGTTCGGAACGAGGATGCTGATGGGCGAAGCGAAGTTGAAGCCGGGATGAAATATCCATATCCACCCAAGTATATGACAAGTATACTCATCAGGGTGCTCCGTCTGAACTATGCGTGAGTCCGACTGAACTGCAAAATATACAGTACATGAGTTCTCCCCTTTTTGTTTTCTACGCTCTGCCAAGTAGCGCCTGAGGATGGTTTTAAGATGTTTTAAGTTTAGGTGTTGTCTTCCAACAATAACGGCATGAAAAGATCCCTGAGAACCCTGAAACAAATGGGAAGCCAAAACACCAGATTTGCAACAAACATCACCAATCCACCCTCAGGTTAGTCTTCTCAAGACCAAACGTTGTCAAACTGAGAATCAGGGTCAGACGCATCATGAGACCACCAGGGTCCGAACTGCAGAGCCCCCTTGTATATAACAACCTTCTGAAAGACTGAAGCTACTGTGCCCGGGGACCGCGGAGCTACGTAGCTCCCCATATGAAGCACCACTTCCGAACAAAACGCACACGTCGATGATCTCGATCCACCTAAACCTGGATCCCCTTGGGAACCTGAATCAAGGATATTCCAGGTAATTATGTTTGCCAACCAGCAGGCAAATCAAAAAAAACATAAATCATCCCCTCCCCTCCACTCCACCCCACCCGCTCACCTGCCTCGAAGTCCCCTCGGTCGAAGGTCACCCGAAAGATCTGCCGCAGCGTCGTCAGCTCCTGCCGCACGTCGCCCTCCGCATGCGCCGCAGCACACGCGCGTCCTGGGATGAGTTACTCTGCGGCCCAGCTCGGTCGACCGATGTTTTCTCGAAGCGTCGAGCACAGGAGAAAGCAAACACAAATGGATGCCATTACACATGTGGTGATAGATCTCAAATTACGGACTATGCAGCCCTTCTGTTTGGCTGTTGCTGTTGCATCTGTTGGTACTGTCTGTTACTGCTTTCACCAGTTTGATGATGTTTCACGTCTAAATCGGCTTAAAGGAGAAAGCCCTGCCCGTTAAGCGGCACCTTGGAAGCCAGTATCAACGTCCGTATCTCAAAGTAGCAGGGAAGAACAGGGTAAAGCAACGCGGAAATCACCTGAGTCTGCCGATATATAAAACACGATTCCTAACAGCGTCGACCTCAGTCAACCCTCCCCGAAACAGCCCTATATAAGGCTCATCGGAAGGAACCTGCATATGTAGCATAGTATAGTGGCTAGATAGGTGCAAAATGGGTGCAAAACACATACAGCTGGTGTTCGAAGAGGTTTGGGAACCTGCCCGCAGAGACATCTCCCGCTTACAAATACGAAGGCTATGAATGGCTCTGATTGTGCTTGTGACCCATCCTCATCTGGGCAACCAATCGCTGGACAAATGCACATTTCTGTGAATCCCATGTCTTTAGCAATTCTATCGGTCTATCCATCAACTCCAGATCCCGACCCAAACGCAAAGCAACAAAGATTCCGCCAGTAAAATCCCCTCCAAAATGCTTTGGAAAGTGCGAAAGGCTTCCCAATATAAAGGCTAATCCGATTGAGTGCCCTGACCTTTGTTCCCATCCCGCCCCCCCACCGCCGCGCTTCGCCGCACCGACCCCCGGTGGGCGTCTCAGCGATCTCTCGGCGGAACGGCGAGGCGCGGAGCTTCCGAAGGGCCTCGCCGTGCTCGCCCGCGTGCAGGAAGGCCACGGCCTGGCCCTGGGAGCACGGCGTTGTGGTGTACTTCTCATATCACTACCTGGACCTTGAAGGGGTGTCCTGGCTGGAGGTCCCTGATTGTGGTGTAGGGGCTTCCATTGGTGACCCCTTTGAAGGTGCTGGTAGAAAATAGAAATATATATATATATATATTAGTCTGGGATCATTATTCCCGAGTCTGCGATGCTGATTGGTGCGACTCGTAGGGAAGGAGGGGTCATGGATCCTAAGGAGACTCACTGAGTCGTGGGGGGAATCACCCATGACTCATTCCCTCAAGACACCTGCGAGGGCGCACGAATTCGACCGGGATGCCGCCATCCCTGTATTAGGGCCCAAACGATACACTAAGCTGGGTTCCAAGACCCACACAGGACCTGATGGCATGGACCTTTGGAAATTCAGGTTCCATGTGTGGACCTCTTGAACTCGGACGCGTCACGGAGGGCCGGGCGCCCCCAAACTCGGACGAGCCATCACGTGTCGAACGGCACTGGACGTCTGCATGTGGGAGGGTGCCCAAGGGGAGATCGGGCTAAGGATCAGAAAAGAGTTCAATTACGGGTCCGAATGGTGTGATCAGCAGGTTGTTTTTTGCGAAATCTATCCAGGTTGTGTAGGACTACAAGACGTTACAAGACAAAATCCAGAATTCTTCCTTGACAAAGTTCCACTTTCATGTTCCTGAGTCGAAGTGCACATTTCGGCACATCCCGGGGAGATGATCCCATCCTTCAATGGCAGGCGGAAACACCCTTCGACAACTGGGAGGCTCTTATCACATCGGATGCACCTACAGTAGCCCATGACACCACGGAAGAATCTGCAGAATCATGAAGAATCCGTACTACCCAGTTAACTATCTAAGGGGGATGCACGGGATGCACTCCCAACAAACCTACAGTAGTTTCAGAGGCTCGATGGCACTGGCACCCAAGATGAATACAGATGACTGTTACCACCTTGGGGTCCACTGCTAAAGCCACCAAACTTGGGGTAACTTGTGCCATCTATTCTGAATCCACCGCATGTACTAGCAGAACAGGAAGCCAGGCCAGGAGTAATTATAGGATCTTGGACTCTTGTAAGAACCATGTTTGAGGTTTTGCCCAGTCTAAGAACGCCCAGTGTCTCATGGCTGCGGATCGATCCCGCTCCCCCTGGTCCTGCGTTGATTCGTCGGGTCACCGTCCGGCCCTGCATCGTACCGTGCCTGGAGGATCCGTACGGCCCAGCCCTTCTGGTCCTGCGCTGCCTCACGCGCCGCCTGAGGTCGTCGTGCGGGTCGCGCGGCCCACGGCGAGCGGAGAGGAGGCCCCGTTCGTAGCGTCCTTGCTCCTAGTAGCGATGCCAGGAGCCCCTACGGTAGTAGCTTCTTGTTCCTAGTAGTAAGGCCAGGAGCCCCTAGTAGCGTCCTTGTTCCAGGTTTTTTTTGAAAGGTATCTTCAGGTGTGAAGGGCTGAGAATCTCCCAGTGCTGAATTCTTCAATGTCCTGAAGGAGCCAAAGTTCTCAAGATCGTGCCAGGGAAGCTTTTGACATTCTCAAGATCGGGAACGCACAAAAGGTCCGACCATCGTACAACGAATGAGCAGCTTTCCTGCTTTGGTTCTTTGTGCATGTTAAGTATCAGGTCCCTGTGTGAACATCACCCAAATCCAGGCCTACATGCTGGTCTGCAACAGGATGGGAGAAACCACCGAGAATCATTGTTGTTTCCCAAAAGTGCTTACTTCGAACATTGATGGCACTTGGACTCGGACCAAATGTTTCATGAGTGAACAACAGGCGATCAGCAACAGAAAAAAATTAACGAGAACCCCTCGTGCCACCATCACCGTTCATCGCCGCGTTCAATCCACCCGGTTCAGCCAACCCATCAGTTGGAGGGTAAACCTTCCAAAGCAACAAAGTAGATGGCACCGTAGCACCCACCAATCACTCCCCAAAGGTGGAGGTCCCGCCCTGGGGCAAATCCAACGCCTCTGGCCTGGACGTCGAAACCTGAAACCGAAACCTCGCCGGTGACGGCCGGCAGCGATGCTTGCATCGCCCCCTGCCGATTCCTGGCCACACGCTGGTTCAATAGCTCTATTCAAAGGATTTGCCGAAGAACCATAAAATTTTAAGTCAAGGCTGTTGCACTACCAAAACCCAGGTGCCCACGAACCTCTCTTTTACCAGGTCGTGTCTTTCGCGACGTTTTCGGCGGCCGCTTTTCGGCGCCCAATGGCCTCCAAGGGCTCCATGGCCCTCTCAGGCTTCTCCGTGTTGGCCCATGCATAGCTCTGCAACTCCGCGGCTTCAGCCGCTGAGCTCCAGTCCCCGGCCTCGAGAAGAGGGGAGAGGTACGATCGGGGGGGACAAACACCTCTGTCCAGAAAGGATGGTCGCTCCATAGGGCCGCTGACACCTGCCCCCTTGGCCCTGGATTTTTGGCCACAGTTTGGAAGGAAGAAATCCCCTGAGATGGAGAACGTCCTCGTGGATTTGATGTGACTTGGGAATAACATGTTTCGGTACTTGGTACGTGCCAGGCCTGTTTGAAGACTCTTCTACCAATGATATATATATATATATATCATATCACTTTTCAACGTGATTAAAAGTTCAAGACGTTTATCGAGGGTTTTGGGGGGTCAATAATGAATAGGTTGGAGTTGACGACTAAGGAAGTTTATGTGTACATGTATAAAGTTTACAGTTATGTGTAGACACACACACACACATATATATATATATATATTTGTGTATATATATATATACGGTTCGAAGGGCGGCGAATGTTCTCAAGATCCGCTGCGCCTGCTGAAACTCAGCTTCGAGTTCCTCCAGGGACTTGGGCAGGAAGTGCTGGTTCTGTGCTACACCTCATTGAAGTTCGTTGTCTACAGCCTACAGGCCTACAGTGCTTACAAGAGTAGGTGGCAACAAAACCCAAATTTTGACGATTCTTACTTGAAAATCACCGTGTCAAAAGGGTCTGAAGCTGTGCCATCTACTCTGACATTGCTAGTGTCTCTCCTTCCCTCTCTCTCTCTCTCTGCCGCTGCATGTGCACGTGTATTATATATATATACATAAAAACCTATACCAGTTTCTTGTTCCAAGACTCAAGGACAAAAAGCCTTCCCAAGCGTGAATAGCAACGGAAAAAGATGGACAGAAACTCCAAAGATGGTGACTCAACGCCAAACATCCGCCCTACCCAAATGCCTCAAACACCCCCCTCCAGCCATGCCCCCAAACACCCGGCATCCTTCGCCAGCTTGGCAGCCTTTGGCGCTTGCTTCAGCTCCACCAGCGCCTCGCACAGGAAGCCCAGCGCACGGACCTGCCAACCTGCAGGGGAGAACCACCGGAGACCCGTTCTTCCGATTTGGAAGGGACAATCTACAGGAAAGGCCTGGTTTTCACCTTCGGGCCATGGGGTTCCTGCAGGTGTTCCCCCCAAACACCTTTAAACCAAATCTGAGAGTTTTGAAGGTCCGCCGGCCAACCCGACCCCGGCGTCCACCCCGGCCTTTGCCGTAGCGGAGGCCGCGAAAGATCTTCAGTGCCTCTTCCGCTGCGCTGAGCGCCTCGAAAAAGCCGGCGAGGGCGATGGTCGACCATGACCAAGGGTAGGAACCAACCAGGTGGTGCGATGCCATTAGGTAAACAGGTAAACATAACCAAGAGCAAATCACAGGTTTTAGAGTAGATGGCACCAACCAACCCGAAGCCAAATCAACCACCAAACTTGGGGTAACTTGTGCCATCTGCTCTCAATCCACTACTGTTGAAGTAGCAGAACAGGGGGCCACGAGTAGGATGTTTGGAGGTGTTCTTGTACATTCTTGCGTCCAGCGTGTGCACACTCATGCACCACAGTCACTCCGGTTGGTTCTGAAAAAAGACTGCAGAACACCGACCAAGCGTTCGGGGAACTACATTGAGTCTTCTGTTCTTCCCTTCGCTCACTATAGTTCTAGCTACGGACCTAGTACCTAGTTGTCTGCTTGGTGGGTTCCAACCCTCGTCGCTTGGGATATTTTGGGGCACATCATTGCCAAATTGATGGAACAAGTCTTGCACTACAGTACCCAGTCCTGCCCATGGGAGTGGCACCGGAGCCTGGAAGGGCTTGGATGCCTTCAGGGACCACTGTGCCACGGAGACCAATTGGGCTGCCTGAGCTTCGAGAAGCTGGTCGACGGCTCATACCATCTCACGACAAAAATGAAAGAAAACGAAAGAGAAGAGAACAACGTGGCGAGAAGGCAACTGGCCACAAGCCTGACACCAAAAACTAAAAGCGGCATTGGAAATCAACACATCATCCGTCATGAGACACTATCAGGCAGGAGGAATTCGGAAGAGGAGTCGAAACCTTCTCTCTTCAGGAGGACTTCGCAAAACCACTCATCAACACCCGCAAAAAAAGGCTCTCTGAAGTCTTTTTGCCGTACTTCAATCAACGCCCTTTCTTGGAGGTGTGGGTGAAAGTTCCATTTTTTGGGGTCCCCGATCCACTTCCATCCACCCCTCCCGGCGAGGTCCCGTCCTCCATCTTGACGTTCCCCTCCTCATGGAAGATCCCACGTGCCTCCAGCGCCTGCAGATCGGTACACCCGGGGTTTCCGGTGTAGAAGGAGGGAGAAAAACGGGAGAAAACGACACCACAAGGCCTCCAACTTGACTGGAAGTTCTTCATCCAAAAGAACGCTGTGTACTATGTCTATGTGTCCACCTCAGTGGACTCCAACTTCCAGTCCTTTCCACAAGAAGCTGCCCCCATAGTGACCCACCACCCACACAGCTGTTGCGAAAGCTGGACATCAGTCACCTCTTCACACACCCCAGTCCAGGCACCGACACTGGGCACCAGACCCCACCAAGACCAAACACCAGGCACCTGCTGTGCTGCGTCCGCGTAGCGGTGCTGTGCTGCCAGTGCCAGCGCACCCGCATGGAGTGCCTTGGCACGAAGCACCGGCTCCGCCGTGAGCCCGGCAAGCTCCACGGCCATGGCCGCCGCCTCCGGCGGCGAGGGCGGCGATGGAGTGCGGCCCAAACATCCCCTGTTTTGCAGAGGATTTCATGGTCTTAGACTTCTTAGATTGCATGGCCTTTCCAGGGACAATGCCTTTCACTTCCACTTTCACTTCCATGTTCGTCTTGGAGACTTTCACCTCCTCGCGCGTCGCCCCCCTTTTCTGCCAACCTGCCGGGCATATCCTCCTGCGCATCTATGCTTTAGCGCGATGCGAACCATGACCGGGTGCGGTGGAGCCTGTTGAGCCTTGTCCGGGCGTTCGAGCTTGAAGTAGAGATTCGTGAGGATCAGCTGGGCCAAAGCCTCGTGGGGATCCTGCAACTCCTCGTGGGGTGCCACCCGTGCGACATCCATGTGCCACCCACCGGGGTGGCAGCGCTGGTGCATCGCGCGCAGGTGCGAGTGGAAGGGAAGGGTGAAGACGGGAACCAGCACAGGGCAGGGCCTTTTGTAGCGTGAAGGACCGACCAGGTATCACCAAATGAGCATCGAGTTGCGGCGCCAAAGTTTCAGCCAAGTACTGTGGGAATTGACGGAATCCAAGTCACATGCTAGCTCTCCCGTCCTGGAAAATGCGCAAGGCTTGCAAGCATACCTCCAGTGCCTCTTGTCGTTTCTTCTGCCCCCGGCGGTCCATGTTGATTTCCTCAGCACGAGGATGTTGAAAAAGCCACTGGCCCGTGGGATCCAGCATAAGACGTTCATGTCTTTTCTATTTTCCGGGCCTGCCTAGCGGGGTGTGGTGTGTAGACCAGGAAAAATGGTCACATGACATATCGCGGTTTACAATGAGCTTTTTCCGAGGTCAGGGAACCTGCGGCATCTTCTCGCAAAGCTACTTCAAATCTTGAGTTAGCGGTCAGGAGTTCGCCGTTGCAGTTCGAGGTTTGCAAGGTCTACGTCGTCTACGTTGGAAAGATGATGCAGTAGTGCCATTTCACCTTCCAAATGCACAGGGGCAGTTTATTCTTATTTTAAGAACACCCCCAGAACGGCAGCACCAACCTTTTGGTTAAGCCAGAGCATCTGCTAGGGAGAGAAGCACACACGCCTCCCTGGCACGATTGCCGCTTGCACGGGCGCTTGCCTTGGCGAACACGGCCCGAACGTTCGGGTATCGAATGACTGGACATCTCACCCGGGGGGCGCTTGCACGACACTGACTCAGCGGACCGACGAAGAGATAGAAAAACCATGAAAAAACAGTTAAAGCCATCTCTCAGCCCTCCGAAAACCATCTTTCATTCAGGCTCGTTCCTACTCCTCACCTCCAGTACTCATCCACCCCTTCCGGTCCGCCGGGTCCGCCAAGTCACCAAGTGCTCCTCGACCAGCTGGAGAGCCTCCACCGGTTTCCGCCTCTCTTTCACCGCGGCTTGGTGATGCTGAAAACCTGAGCTGCCAGGCCGCCCAGGTCGGATGGGATCAAACGCAGCTCAGTGAGGGCACCTCTTTAGTAGGGAGGGCTTAGGTAGGTCTGTGTAGTAGGTCTGACGAACGTGCAGTTAGATTTAAACGATGTATTTGTGTAGGTATAGACAGATAGATGGATAGGCCAAGAGCCACGAAAGCCAAAAGCCACAGAAGCCACGAAAGCCACGAAAGCCAAAAGCCACAAAAGCCAGAAGCCACAGAAGCCAAAAGCCACAAAAGCCAGAAGCCACAGAAGCCAGAAGCCACGAAAAACAAAAAAAAACCAAAAAAGAAACAAAAAAAAATCCAAAAATAAATACCCCTCCTCTATGTAGTAGGTCCTCACCTTAGCAGCAGGCTCCATCAGCTGTTGAAACATGGAACTCACGTGTCATTTTGGCAGCGGAATGATGCGGATCACTGTCACAACAAAGGGGGCAAACATTGGTTCCATTCTCTGCTGTGGGCGGCGGTTCTGGGGAGTTACCCGGTCTGAGCGGTTCATACCAAGGATTCATGATGATGGTTTGGAGCTTCGTCCTTCCTTCAGCGGTGGACATCGGTTTCAGAGGGCATGTTCGTCAACGTCCAGCTCGGCTTCCCACCCGACCCACCCTCCAAAATCTGCCCAGCAGCTGATCATCACGCGCAAGGCATCATTGGCCCTAGCATCATCTTGGCCTGGGAAGGCATCAAAAGTCCATCTTGGATGGATTTGGAACCCATGGACGGCTCCAAAAAAAACATCTAAAAACCAACTCAAAAGGATGAGAAGCAGAACGCCCCCGCCGGCACTCTTCCAAACAAACACCCATGCCCTCAAAAGGTCGACGATCAAAAGAAGACCCCCCAAAAAAGGCGGTCGCCTCGTTGGAAGAGCTCAAAGGCTTCAGAGGCCTTCTGAAAGACCTCTGGCCGCCCTTCGTCCAGACCCTGCCGCGCCTGGCGGGAGCTACGGGCGGGGTGCCACGCCCAACTACTGGGCCCGAAGTGTCTATAGTGACAACAACTCCTATGGGAGCTACGGAAGGGTGAGATCAGTGTGTAGAGCCACCGGCGCCACAGGATACAAACAGGGGCCCGAACAGGGCCACAGTCGCTAGATCCTGCAGCATCCTGCAACATGATACTTATGAAGTTTGCGCTCCAGATTCTTGTTGAGGATCTTCTGCATTCACCCAAGAACTTTGGGTTACCAGATGTTACCAGTTCATATGGGGATGGGTCAACAGCTGGGGCCCTGTTCCACCATGTTCGCTACACGACCAACACATTGGTGGGTCAATCGTGCCATAACCCCAAGGTCCGCAAGGTCCCGTCGGTATGAGGTCACTCTCACAACGCCATGCCACCGGACAACTTGGTTCCCCTCCCCATAGTTCGAGCAGTTGGACATCCAACAGGACTATGAATGAAACGACCTGTTTTCTCATCGCACGCCGACAAAGAAACACGCTCTGTTGTCCTCCACCATCTGAGGTACTTTGTTGGCTATCAGTCGAGTAGGCAGGAAGATTCAAACAGCTGCTATTCCCCAGGCATGTACCACTACCAGATACTGGATGATCGTTAGTAAAGCCCTATCGAAAAATAGTGATCATCTTCTACCGACTGCTCCTGGCAATGGGACGCACACACACACACACCAGCTATTCCTGCCAAATGGCCCATCAACGAGGTCGGTTCCGAAGAGGCGAGCATAGTGGCACCCGGGGAGCACTTTTCGTGCTTTGACCATCCGCTCCTCCAACCTGCGAATTCCTCTGCCATGTTCCAAGCGAACGAGTCCAATCATGCATTGGTCTTCACCGAACGGAACACCATGGAATGGGCCCGTCCGCCAACATCCATCGTCCAGCCGAGCGGGCTCCAACCTCTTCAAGCAGCTCGCTGGCTGCCATAGCGCCACTGCTGTCTGGACGGGGTGGGTGTGCAGGCTGGTGGTACCTAGCCATTAGTTTGGTCAGCTGCTTGGTCCCGAGGGGCTCGGGGTGGTTGGGTGGTGATGGAAGGTCGAAAGGGATGAAAGGCGGGGGACGAACAAGCTGAAAGACGTGCAACAAGGCCCCAATGTCCAACGAAAAGCTGATGCAGGTCAGAAATGGGATAACTTCTGTAACTTCTTTGGCTTTTTTGTGGGGGGTATGGTCAGGGCGCAACAGCGAACCTTAAAGGACAACTGGGCAGCAAAAAGTGGCCCAAGTACTCCGGAGACCCTCCTTGTTGGTGATATGTTGAGCCAAATCCCAACGGTCCGATGGTGGCGCCATGCACAGCCCGTCACTCACCCCCTTGAAGACCTTCTGAGCACCACGGGGGTTGGGGGAGCCTTTGTGCAAAGGGCTGAGGGAAACGTGGCGCTGCGTGGCTCCGGTCGGCGCTTGCACGCAGAAAGCAACCCGCCCAACAGCCCAAGTGCAATCACTGAAGGAAACCCCTTGACTTTCAGAGTGTAGTGGTTTACTTCAGATTCATCTCGCCACAAGAAGCCAAGTCCACACTCACCCTTCCATGCATAAACCAAAACTACTTACGGAAGATTATACCTTAGAAACCCATGCAGAACCTCGGAATCACCTGAATGCCCACTCTTGTTTCCACTGACCACACCACACCGAAACAAAATGACGCAAATACACACCAGAAACTTTGGACACCTGCATTTTTTGGGGTCACCTCAAATCATTGATGGATCCCTCATTCAGTCAGCCTCACCCGACTCACCAAAGAGTCTGGCCAGTCCAACAGCCCGAACATGACTGGCCGAGCCGAACCCGGGACCGCCGGTTCACCCCAAACCCTTTCTTTGCGCCGCCGCAGACCGCCACAGAGTCCGCCGATGTCTTCGACTTCGGCCGCGGCGCGGCGCGCCGCAGTCAGCGCCACGGTGCAGCGGTGACGGGGCGCCAGGTGCGAGGAAAACGGGTTGAGTTGGTGGGTTGGGTTCCTTGGAATCGAAAGTGGATGGCACCACAGGGTCATCGAAAATCGGGGGTTCATGCGATCCACTTCAGTCACTTCTGTGATCATTCCAGTCCAGGGAGTGTAATGATGGTGAACGTAGAATGTTGAATCAATTTCGCGGACGATCGAGGTGGCATGCACGGCTCGCGCAGTGCTGAATGCGGATTATATATAATCAAAATCCCCCAATTGAGTAGCAAAAGCACTTCATGGGGGGGTGATCAATCAAGAGTCCACATTGCGTGATCAATCACCTCTAGAACTGGCCTTGACGGACTTTTTGGCCTCCTGTTCTTTGAAGTTGCCAGCCCTCACCCCTTCACAGGCGCATCCCTGGCTGCCTTCTTCGCGAGCTGCCGTTTGGCAGGGCTCTCGGCTTTGGACATCAGTAACATGATCAATATGGAATCCTCCAGCAGTCAGGAACAATGTCGAACAAGGATCCACAAGTTGCAAAAATGCCTAGGGTTAGTCAGAGGTCCATGTTATTGCTATAGGCAGCCATTCACTGGGCCATTCACCGTACATTTGGGCCTTGCCCTCCCCATGACACAGCTCAGTCCATTTGAACTTTGCATTCCTTTTCTGTCGATTGGGTCCAACTTATGTGACGGTCCAAACGATTCCATCAGACCAATGATCACTTGCCATGATCGAACGACGCGTCTCTGTGCACGTCAGGCTCAGAAGACCACCAGGCCTGCATCGGCCTCGCGTCATGGGCTGTGCCACAACCAACTCACACGCTGCAGGATGCTGCAGGAAAGTCTTGGATGACCCCTGACAGTGCCTCCTGACCTAGCACACAAAATCCCATCACCTTCACCCTGAGAGGCATGAAGATGAGATCCCCAGATAGCTCATCTGCAAGTTCCTGTGGGTTCCACAGTGGAAAAGGAGGCTCTCCCTATCTCCCAAGTCGGGCCTGGCCACCTCATCCTCTTGATCCACCCCGCGTGCGAAGAAACAGTCACCCCCACTGACCCACCAAATGGCCGGCGGTCTCACCGCGCTCCTTCACCTCCGGAGTCGCAAAGCGCAGGGCATCCGGACCTCAAGACACAGGGGGGCGCAGAAAGTCTGGAGAACTGCCTCCCGAAAAATACAAATATATAGACATAGACATGGATCCCCCAAATCCACTCCTGCAAAAACCATCTCTTCCTATATTGCATCGGAGTGTCACTTATTCTTTGGGGGGGGGCTACATGCGCACTGGCCGACCCGGAACTCCCGGCGCCAGGACCCCCGAGCTCCGTAGCGCAGCGGCCAGGACCATGTCGCGGTCCGCCTGGAGGCGTGTCACGGCTGAGATGTGCGTCAATGGGCCTGGGTCTAAACATCATACTGGCAGGCGTCTGGGGTGAAGTACATGTTGAAATGAAGGGTCATGACTGGGGCTGGCGTTCTTTTTTTTTCCTCCCTGGAACCCCGGTCACAACCAGAAACAATTGGATGTTCCAATATGGCAATGAAGGTCCTTTACATAGCAAGTGGTTGTTTTGTGGACACATCCAGTCATTTTCTGCTTGTGACTGGGGTTCCAGGTCTGGGTCTGACGTCCATGACGTCAACCCGGCCATGACCCTGGCCACCAGACTGGACGGTCTTTCGACGGAGAGCCAACCTTTTTCACAGTCGCTGGGAGAGAGAAAGCCCTCTGGACTGAGAGTTCACTTCTGAATATCTCCGCCTCTTCCTCTCTCTCTCTCTCTCTATCCATTGCCTTCAAATCGAAATGTGCCCCAGCTATCCCTGTAGGTTGACTGTTTCAGGCCAAAATTGACCATCCGCGATGTCTGTCTTGCGGCCTTGAGCGCATCGCTGCTGTGCTCTAAAGCCATGCCATCCTCGCGAGAGCGGTTCTGAAGGCCCAAAAGCATGCACAGTATGCAAAACCGATCCCAAAATCCATACCTGGATACTACCGTAGTTGGATACTACTCGTAGGTAGTTCAGTCTCTACTAGCTCTCGAGTTCATCCATTATGTCATGAGTATAGTGTTGAAGCCGTAGTTGATCTAGCGTCTCCTGTGAGATCGCCCGGAAGACGACCGCTCGGTCGGCCCTGGAGCAGATGGGCGGACATGTGAGGAAATGGGTGGAGAAGGGGCTATGTTGGATGCATTTGCCTCATGATGCATGGGCGTGCGCCAAGAATTGTTGGTCTTTCTTGTGTTTGTTGGAATTGAGTCAATTGCTATAGTAAGTCATGCTAACCCTTCCCCCTTTAACCAAAAAGCATCTGTCCCTCCACCAGTCGAGCCGTTGAGCGCCTTGAGTTCACTAGGGTGTGGCACTACCAGCTCGCCTCGTAATTAATGTAGACTCTTGATTAATAAACCCACCCAACTGAGTTGAAAATCCTCTTCTACCCCACGCGCTCCGGAAGGTTCGTCCGGAGACAAGAGCAATGTCGCCAGCTTCCACTGAAACGACAACGAAAAAGTCGCTACGCACAAAGAAAGGAAAGTCACGAAAACTCGAACAAAGCAAACTCCCATGCATGCATTCCAGCTTTAATCACGCATTGTCCAACATCGACGAGGAAGCGCAGATCTTCTTGCGACCGGAAAAAAGATGCACCAACAATCGCGCCCGGTGGCATAGTTTTCCCCCATGTGCAATTGAAATGGGCATCATGCTTCCCGGGGTGCAAAACAAAGTCACATTGCTTCCGAAATGAAGTGAAGGCGGTCTTAATCCAGCTTATCAAAGCACGGAAGGAGCTGAGTAATCAAGAGTCTACATTACCACACATCCCTCTATCACCAGGCTGAGCTTCTTGAGCAAGCCGCCGTGGCGAAACTCGCGGTGACTCAGACCCCGGGCTCCCGTTCTTCCCATCCCTCCCAGCGGCTCTTCGGTTTGGAGGGTCGCCGGCCCCGTTTCGTCTCCACCGTTTCGTCTCCCGGTCGCGGGCTTTAAGGTCTCATCGGCATAGGCCAAGGCCATGGGATCGGCGTCCACCTCGGGCCGGAGCGGATCGGCGCGGCGCGGCGCCTCCGATCGGGTCATCGAAGCATCTGAGAATCAACGAACCGAACCAATGCACGAGACAGATCGAGCGCCACCATGCCCACCATCTGAAGGGGATCCTCATCTTCCCCCGGTTTGCGACTCAAAGCCAGGATCCTACTAGGAGCGATCAGACGGATCCCTTGGTGTCGCCTGTCGGTCCTTCCACCCTCCTGGTGCCCCGGCGGCTGCCAGCACCACCTCACGGTCTGCTCGGAGCTCCTGGACCGGACGGGACGGTGGTGTCTGCGCCTTGGGGCCGGGACCCGTGGGCTGAATGACTCAGAGTTGAAACCCCCCCATGTGTGGGGAATTGAGGTGGTGAACCTCAAAAATCCACAGTGTTGCTTTCAACCAGAGGGTCTGGAGGGCCTCCCTATTCTACCCGATTCTGAGGCACACTCACACCCCAATGGCGCGTTGCTATCTATTCTTCGTGGCGTGAACCGTTCGAGAAACAAAACAGCTCAGGTCAGCGAGAAGCTCTAGGGAAAGGGAATGGAAGACCGGTGCGAGGGCGGTTGCGAGACGGCCTGTAAAATGGCCTCTCCATGCGGGGGGGTACAGGCACTACTGTGTGCCTCACAACTAGCGCATGACCCCTGAATGCCGAGCCTTGCATGGCCCCTGCTAAGCAGCACCGGTATCTCCCACATCACATGCTGTTGATGTGGTACTCTCTCCCTCCCTCATGAATCTGATACTGCCATACCCCGCCGGCACTCCGAAAACGGTGACTCACTCCCCACCTGTGGCATATGCCGCAAGAGGGAGCTGTTCCGCCTGCCGAGCCGAAGAGCTAATCACGGACCAGTTCAGCTCGCGCAATCAACCAGGTGTATTGTGCGCGTGGCTCCACAGGCCAATCACCCATCTAGGTGACATCCTTCGCAGCAGGTCGGCGCTGTGTAACCTAAAGATACTCGAGGAATGCCGACCCTTCTACCTTCTCCCCAAGAAAATCGTGTGTTGACACGGCAGTCTCAGGATACTTTAAACGGATTCAAGCTCATGACCTAAGTTGTATAATGTTAAATAAGCATCAAGGATGTCAAGAAAAACGTTGTCTCTCATCATCAGGGTTGCAAACCCCCCACACACGCTTTCTCCCAAAGAGCACCCACCGGGAGGTTGCGCCTCACGGCTTTGGCCGCCTGCTGGCGGTCCTCACCTGACTCAAACAAAGGACAAGAGCAAAAGAACCAAGACTCCAAAAAGGAAGCCTGGCTAAGTAACACAGGATCACTTGGGTTGGTCCTATATATATATATTATATATTTATTATTTTTTGGGAAACATGTTTAGGTAAGACCTGACTTACTAGGCTAGGCTAGGTAAGCTAGGTAAGTTCCTATACGAACAAAGGTTACCACCGTGTGCTTCTTCATAAGCGCAAATGTCCCGCAAGGACAACAAACGTTCACTGATTCACTCAGTTAATGGAACCCATACAGCTACACGTGCGCACCCGGCAACTTCATGCACTTCTCCTAGAACCAGAAACGCCTCACCAGGCGTTCTTAGGTACGTCAAGCATGTTGAGCATGGCCAGTGGCGGCCAGTGTCCACACCCGCAGGCCCGCAGGGAAGGCCCAGCCCGGCGCCCGGACGCACCGCAGAAACTTCCTGGAGCAGTTGAAGGTGGCTGGGGATGAACAAGCACATGAGGCGTTGAGTGTGCCTCGCTTGGGCAGAAAGAAAGTCCTGGATGTATGCAAGGGATCGATCTCACAGCACCGTCCTCAGATGAGGAAAAACACCGCCTAAGGCACCTACTACTTTTATGGTGACAGTCCAGTACACCTCGCAGTTCCTACCATACTGCAACCATCTGGTGGGAAAAACCATCTGCAAACCCGTCATGGATCTTATACAGGGGTTGTTAGTTATGCTAAGAACTTGGGGAGGGTAGGCCAAATAGTCCAAATTGTTTTGACAGCTAACCACTGGCCATGGAGGAAAAACAGACCGCACCAGTTTCGTGCCACAAACTCACTGCGCGTCACAAACTCACAGCCCAGGGCTTCCTGGAGACGCATCCTTTCAAAACACTAGATCCTGCAAGAATCAAACATTTTACCACCATAAGAGTGGACCCGATGATCTCAAATCATCATCAAATATCCAAAAAAAGAGCCCTGACAGTGCTTGATTCGTAGCATTTCGTAGCACGTTTTTGCGCCAGCTGTGATGTGATCGCTTTGACGCTGCAGCTTGTGCATCAGATTGGTGCCTTTTTTCTGAACCCTGCGGAAATCCATCTCCGACGATCTCAAAGCAAAACCTGGGAGCTTGGTGGCTTCAGTGGTTCCAACGCAACTCGTTCGAACGCACGAGTCGCCAGCGTCCTTCGCAGCCATGTCCTACCAAGGTGACGTAGTGGAATGCTGAAGCTGGTGGGAAACGAAGGTGCTGAAACCATCTGAAACACGTTCCTTGGACTTCTCAGTCTTAACTGATGTTCTCCTCCCAAAAAAAGGGAGTCCAGTCAAGAGGTAGGTGGGGCAGCTGGTGAGTTGGAATGCTGGATAGAGGGTTGTAGGAAGGCATAGCCTCAGTCCCAAGATTCAGGGACCGGACCAGACTGTCCTCGATAGCAAAAACCCATCAATACATTCTGTGACACCAAAGCCTTATGATTTCTAAACGCTAGGGACACGGCATGCGGCAAACACATTAGACTTGCAATAATTGGTTAGTTTCACATGGTTCCACAAATGCATGCCCCTGACAGCGAGAGCTTGGCAAAACAAAAGCACGAGACATGCCGACATTGTTCCTGGCTGGTCGCGTCGTTCGATGCTTCCATGCTTGGCACTGGTGAACCACCGAGCCACACGTGGTCGCTGGTCGCTTCACAGCAAGTTGATTTGAGGTTCTGGACACCCTCTGTGAGGACCCTGCTGATGGTTCTGGACCGGTCTCACCCCTTCTCCCTTGGGTGTCCCTTGGCGTCGGACCCAAATGGGCCACGTAAACAAACGTCACGAGCATGGGGTGAATCGAGTGAAACAAGGTGAAATCGAACATGCGAGAAATCACACAAAAACTGAGGCCTTCTCTTGACATTATATATACTGTATGTGTATATATATATATACCCTAGGATTCAAACAACCATTGTTTTAATGGTCTTTACCAAAGAACCATTGTTTTACTAAGGGATTTTGCACTACACCACCCGCTCAACCGTTCTTTTAATGGTCTTTGAAGGCTAGGGTATATATATGATATATGAATGCAAATGTCGCGTCCAGTCGTGCACCTCAAGAAGCATCGAAGAGCATCGAAAAAGGTGGACCCTTCTATGACCAGCTTAGCACCAGGCCACCGGCACCGAAAGAATCATGCCGAGGCCGCCGGTCGAGACGCATTAGGCGACGGGCGACGGCCACCGCCCCACAGGCGCCCCCCATGGCGGGGCCCTCCACCGGCGGCCTGCGCCACCCGTTCGAAGATGTTGCGCCTGGGCCGTTCGGCGCCGTTCGGCGGCCCCAGCGAGGGACTGGGACACACGTGTGGTAGAGAGTCCGGTGCACGCCAAATCAATCGTCATCGGCTCTGAGTTTGTTGGACGTTTGGGGAGAAGTTCAACCTAAGCGAAATTGGGTGAGGAGGAGCTTTCCTGGAATGATCTTGCTCCAGTCTCTAGGGTTTGAACACCTCTTCAGTGCTACCCTTTCCATCAGCGTCCCCAAAGACGTTGAGAGACGGGCCATCGCTGCATCGGGCCACCCAGGAGAACCCAGGCTTGGAAAACACCCGCACGCTCAGCCAGAAACTGTGGCAATCAACCTGTGGAATTGCTGACAGGCTCGCCTGGTGTGGTGCCACGCTGGGCTCACGGGCAAACACTCTTGCTTGGAGTTCGGCATCTTCGTCTTCAAGTGAGTGGATCAGAGAGTTTACTTTGGAACTCTACTTCTTGCTTCGATGTCTGATGGAAACTGCTTCTTGACCGACCCCACGTCTCGACCCGTCTCCAAGAACCCACGCAGCAAGAGCTTCGTGACGCGGCGATTGGTGATCCGCTCAGGACTGGCGGGACCGGATCAAATGATGGAAGGGCATGTGGAAGAATGGCTTCTGTTTAGTTCTTCAGTGGATGTGACAGGGGCACCCCCAACCTCAAAAGCACCCCTTTGGAATTGCAGAAGAATCAACACCCTCAAATGTTTCTTTCTCAAAGCCATTCTCACGCAGTGGCGCCGGGCACCCTCTTTGGGAACCCGTAGGTTGGAGCACCTTTAGAAACCCGCCCCTGCCAGGCATTGTTTGCTTGCAAAACCTGTTTCATCCTGTTTCTCAAGAAGAACTCTTGCAGAAGGCAAACTGCAGCATGACTCAGCACGACTGTGGGATTCTCCAACTCCATCTTTCACCCCCAACTCGCTGCCTGTTGCAACATCTCACCACCACGTCCCGCACCAGGCGCGAGGCAGCGATGCGACAGTCTGGCGCTCTCCGATCGACGCCGCGGCAGGGCAGGCGGGGTCTTGGGAGGCAAAGGAATAGATGAGTCCCTTTGGGGCATGGCAGTTTCTTCACTGGTAGGAGGGGTCATTCAGAAAGCTTCGTCGGGCGTTTCAGGTTTCAGCCAAAGAAATTTCAGAAGCACAGATGCGTTGCAACACCGTAAAAGGCCCTGATGGGTGAAACACCTGGCATAGACTCCATGATGCAAAAATCGAGCTTGGGAAAAGTTAAGCACAATTCACCTCCCAGCCACTTTCAACGAGCTTCTGTCTCTCTCTCTCTCTCTCTCTGTGTCTGTCTGAAAACCAGACAGCCCGTCCTCGATCTGTTCCAGACTTGCCCCTGATCTCTCTCGGCCCCGAGCGCCTCGCATCATCGCCTGCTCCAGGTCTTGCAAGCTCTCATTGATCGCCTGCACGACCGGTGAGGCCGCCATTTGTTCCACGGCTCCGAACAGAAGAGCTGCCAGACTGCCCGACATGGACGACTGGGTTTGGGGTCCTGGTCAAGGATTTGGATCGGAACGACTAAGGTGGAAAAGGGCTCCAGATCTTCGGCTCAGCCCGTCAGAAGTGAGACTCGCACCTGCGTCCACTGGCTGAGGCTCTCAGAGTCGAGCCTGGGGCAGTTGCTTCCATGCGACCGGTGCGACCGGGCAGACGACATCGCCAGGGTGATGGTCGCAGCGTGTGATGGTTTCTTGCACCTGCGGCATGAAACCTCACCCACCCCGATGTTCCAACACACCAAGCTCGTGCGCTGGAGCTTGGTGGCTTGCTTTGTGGGCTTCTCTCTTGCCCTCTGGCTTGCGGCAGATGGTCTGCAGCACAGCCCAGCACCCAGCCACCACCCAGCCACCACGCCCATGTCCGCCCCAGTGTCCACCACTCTGGGAGCATTCGCGGGTCGAAGTAGACCATCGGCCGGTGCGCTGCCTCAGCAGTCGGCTGTCTGGCGGTCCGTCCCCCTCTCTCGGTGGGTTGAACCGGACAGCCTCAAACAACGACGACCCGTGGACCAGGGCCCCCTACAAGGGGTGTCATAGCTCCTTAGAGGCTAAGGGATGACCATTCACCACCCCAAACAAGGGCCCCCGGTATAGGTTGAGCGCGGATTGATCCAAAGAGACACACTTCGCCATGAAACCTTCATCTCACCGGATGGAAGTCGTGAAATTGGAACTCGCAACATGAGGTCTTGAGGTCTTGAGGACTTAAGACCAACAAGATCCTCTCAATCTGATCTTTGGTGCTGCCAAACAGCCTCCGGCTCGAGATCCAAGACGAAGCCATTCGGCCGCTCAGCACCTGGTGTTCCACCAGGGAGTGGGCTTTTCCGTATGTAAGCATGCGGGGTGCGCAGAGCGAATCACTTTCAGAGAAACCGATCTTCTGTTCAGTTCAGGATCCCCAGTCGTGGCTTGGATCTCTAGAACCAAGAACGCACAAACAGCAAACACCTCTTCCAGGGGTCACAGAACTCGGGGTGGTTTTTAGTTCCATCCAGTGAGTGGATGTGACAGGGGCACCGCAGCCCGACTTCCTCCAAGTGCGGCACCCCCGACTTGGACTCCTGGTGATATACCCTAGGGATCCAGTCGCACCTTCTGAGGTTCGGTACGAGTGGGATCCCTACGAAGCAAGGTGCCTTACAACTCTAGTAACAAGAAGCTACTAGTAACAAGGGCATCGCTACTAGTAACAAGGTGCGCACCTTACTACTGTATTTCACTCCTTTGGGCAAAGGCACGGTGAAGCTCGGAGTCGCCCAGCGGCGCCACCTGCGGAGGTCAGAGACTGGGAGGTCGGAGGCAGCGGAGGCTGGGTTGGATCTGGGGGGGGCGGGGCAGTAACTTTCTATCACGAGCGGATACCTTCAAAAGGATTAACTCGAGTAGTAGTGGCCGAAGGTGAGCCGAGTATTATCATTGTTGTTGCATTAACTTGAGTCAGTCTACCTTTTAAAATCATGGAAAACATCAAGCCCAGCCACTGGGCTAGGTCCTTCGTGCTGGCTGGGTCATGCTGGGTCATACTCTAAGGAGGACTGAACTTTTTGCTCACCGCAAATCCGAGCGAAAGCGACCAGGAAATCATGACACTCTTTGATTCCAGGTGTTTTTCATTCCACTTAGCGGTTTTGACTGTCGATGAGATCCAGATAGGCCTTGAAGGCCTTCATCGAGCTCTGTGGTCTTAACCTCGTCATGGCCTTCCTCTCTTGGCAGTCCTCACCAAATGAGGCACGAAGTTGGCCCGGTCGGTCCTGCCTGGCGATGGCCTGAAGAAAGCTTCGAATTCTAGGGAGCACATGATAAACTGATAAACCTGTCTTAGTCCCATTCATCATCTGTGCTTGGCTCTGTTCAAACCACGTCGATTGCCAGAAGATCGTCTCAAAATATGGGACCCTGGATGCCTGCAAACTAGCTCAGGGGCAGATGAAAACCCATTCATGTGAGGCTCTCTGATTTTGATCACCTATATAAACTCGGCCTGATCAACCAAACTCGGCCTGTTCTACAAGGAAACTCCGACAGTGTCAATGACCCCATGCCTCACACGGACTCTTGGATTTACTTAGAATTTACTCCCCCACATGAAGACATTCCGCACTCCAAATGGCCTCATGTAGAATGTTGATTGAACAAAGTGAACAAACCGTCTGGGTGTTGCTTAAGACATAAATCCAAGAGTCTAGATTCTACATGAAGCGCCGGGTCAACCTCTCCTGACCAAGGTAGGTCTCCAGCTTTCCCTCGTGGAGCACCACCCAGCGTCGTTGCCTCGGCCGAACCGGGCGGACCCGGGCGGACCGGGACGGGCTCGCCCAGACGTCGGAGCACCATGACCGACCTCGGCAACCTCCCCTCTTGGCTTCACGAAGTGATCTGTTTACTATTGGAGGTCATGCCTTGGACCCCAAAGCGAATCCATAGAATCAATGATGGTCGTCAGGGGCCAATCCGTTGGCGCCCCCAAACGCCGGACCCCAAACGAAACGTCGGGGTCGATTGGACGACCCCAGGTGGTGCGACTCCAGGAGACGTCCTCATTCCAGTGATTAATAGCCTCTCTAGTCGAACTCTGGATCCCACCCTTGAGAAGCAGTAGGATTCATGAAGACAATCACCAGGTGATTGGACAACTACGGCATCCAGGTGATGGTGATCCTTGATGCCCAGTGATGCGACCACGGCGACGACTCCACGGCGATGGCGACCGCGACTCCACGGGCCCATGAGCGGCGGTCGACCACGGATCTCCCCAATCCCAGGGCTGGTGCCACGCGAAATCAATGGTCGGGCCCCGCCTAACCGCGAACCACCGAGTTTCCGCGGTTTCACGCGGTCGAGGCATGGATGGATGGACGGACGGCCGGACGGATGGATGTTGGCAATATGCAGTCATCCTCAAGTGGCAGTTGTAAAAAGAAAGAACTGGAGCAGTCTAAAACTTCACAAGGAGCCTCTTCATGTAGCCCTGTTGGAATTGAAAGAATCCATCATCCAACTACTTCAGAATGAAGATTGTAAGTATGCCGTAATGCCAGTACGCAAACCATTGTGAAAGCCAAACAACAATTTTGAGTGCGTTGTGGTGGTGCAAGCATGCTAGGATTGCAAAGAAGGCATGTCTAGCATCTTCAAAAGACCGAAGATACCTGTACATCTGCAATTGAGCCTGTTTGGCATGAAACGTGGAGAAAAACGATGAGCGCTGCACTCTGGATGACTCTGATAGCTGATAGCGCACTGTCTGCCGCGGATGCTACGGAACTCTTCGACGGTTGCGGCGCCGGAGATGTCTAAACCCCAAAGAAAATGCAAATTTCAAATTACCCAGTACAAGAGAAAGAAGCAACTATAGACTATAGACATTGACGCTTTGTATGCGGAAGATTATCTTCTTGATTTCTACTGTGGGACCATTTCTTCTTACTGCCTGTCACTGACTATACATGGTGGTTCTGATGATTGAAAGTGGTGCACTGGTAGAACACTAACCAAGCCACCGGTGGAAACCCTTGACGTCCGAGCCCCCACCAACCCTCTCCGCCTGTCCATCCATCCTGCCATGGACTCGGCCACCTGATGTTGGGGTAACTTGCCAGCACAGGCAGTGCGCAGGCTGTCTGGGTGGTGAATCCCTATATCGAAACTAATTACATGTCCCACCCCTGGTCACTCCTGATGTGCTGGTGAATAAGCACCCACCCCACCTCCAGCAGACACTCCTTTCAGCCCCTGACGAGGGAAGAAGAAGAAGAAGAGGAAGAAGAAAACAAAGAGCTCACCGTCCTCCTCTTTGTTTGGATGTTTCCTTCCTGATAGTTGTGACAGGTGTGTCATTTGGGGCACCACTCGTCGCCCGATCTCCCGGCCTTCGACGCCCGGACACCCGGACAGGAAATGGGAGGTCGTCCAGCTTCGTACGGTCCAGCGTTTTCAGGAGTAGGTAGATGGCATCATCCCTATGCAGGTGAAGAAAAAACGGACTCCCATGTCAAAGACATCTTTGGGTGCCAGTGCCCGGATCAGACCCACAAAACCCTCCAGGACTGGAGATGTAAAGCATGGTCAAACCGGTAAAGAAACCCAACCTGCTCGGATTCCTCACGTAGTGAAGCCCTGTTTGTTGGGTAGGAGGGGAAGGTCAAGAAGACCATCAATCAGTGTCATTCTGCTAGGTCTTGGTTCTTCGTCAACAGTCCACATTCGCCAGACCGTGGCCGTTACAGAACTTTTTGGCACGGGGACTCGCACATCCGTGTGCCTCTTGCTAGTCACCTTGACATGGAAGCCGGAAAGAAACACGGGCCCCTGGAAGAAGCAGGTTCGAAGAAGCAGGTTCCTTGACCAACGGGTGGTGTTCCACTTGGTCACACGTATTCGTCGGAGGGTTTGGCTTCTTTTCGCTCGATGAAGCGTCAGAGGACTTCTCCTCTGAGCCTGCAGGTCTTCTGCGATCCACGAAGGCGGATCACGGGCATCTACCCAGGGCCGAAGATTGGCGGGACGCATTCTTCTTTGTGGTGAGACTGGCAGGCAAGCCTCATCTCATCTCCCCCGAATGTGTGCATACATATTGGTATATTGAATGATTGGATGTTCCATGATATTCGTTTGGTTTCCACAACTCAACGTTGAGCTTGTCCTACTTCCCCCATATCATGTCGTTCTTCCACCCTCCTTTGAGGCTGCTGCTATTTCATCGATCTCTGCTCGTTGCCTACAGCTCCTCCTTGGCAGCAGCTTCCAGCTTGGGGATGATCTGCTTCTTGCGCGAGAGGACCTTTGGAAGGACCACCAGACCCTGATCATCCACCTTCACCTTCCAGGCTTTCCTCACAGCGGTGTCCACGCCAAACAGCAGTGCTTGTTTGTCCACGAACGGCGAGGCGATCGACTCGTTCAATTCCTTGGGTAGTAACGCTTCGCGTCCGAATTGGAGCTGGAGCGGCCTCGACGGATTAGGCGAAGGAACCATCTCTAGATCGTCACACATGGCTAAGTAGTGTGTATCTCAGGGAGCCTGGGCTCTTCGTATTTACCATTATTTACTCTTTTTGGGGCTGGTCCTCAGGCTAATTGGATAGACCTCCGATAACTCGATCCTTGTCCATGGCACGCGATCCATGGCCCTGCGATCGACTGGAACGACCCCGGTCACACGTCAGGGGGCTCCACTAACGTCGTCGCAGTGGAGGAGGAGGAGATGAAGGTCGCTGACTCCTTGAGGATGTCAACCACGAAGAAGAGCACGTCGTCGATCTTCTCCTCACCGGAATGTCAAGTGAGGAGCAGTGCTTTCGTGACTTTTCATGACCTGTAATTTGGTCATGCAGCTTCAAATGGTCATGTAAGTGCTGCTGCAAGTGACATAACCAACTTCAAACGTAGATATTAAAGTTTATCTACTCTGCATACTAGTAATTATACTGAACTATATCAATGGTACAGGGTACAGTACAACAACCGCGACTAGGAGAGCCCAGGATCTCTGCCCAGTCTGCTCGCGGGTGTCCAGCTGCGCACGCGGCTGATCCCGCCTTCTCCTTCAGTTCCTTCATGGCCGTCACCAGCTCCGCCTTCTTCGCCAAGGGGCCTGGTTGACCCAACTGGGTGGGATTTTAAGGAGTCCAGGTGTGGAGATGCTTCCCAACTCAGCCAGTGGTCAGTTCGCTCCACTCCACACATTTCCCGAACGAAGACGACGTCGTCGTCCCTGCCTGCCGCCTTGGTGGTCTCGAGCACGGAGACTCTCAACTTCTTCCCGCCGATGTTGAAAATCTTGGTGTCCATCATGATGAGCTCGCTGCAGCTGAGGTGGTCCACCTGCATCTAAAATCCGTCTTGCATCGGTCGTTGGCGCGACGGTCGCCGCAAGCTTGGTCCAGCGACGCAGGTCCAGTGCTGCAGTGAACTTGAAAGACTGAAAACTTAAGTGTTGTATGTGTATGTATATATATATATGTGTGTGTGTGTGTTTACGTATATATGTATATGTAACATAATATCAATCTGATACAATGTGGTAATTTATGTAATATATATACATATATGAATATGTAAATATACAAATCTAAACATATATGTGTACATATTATCATCCAATACTATCCAATACTACTATCATCCACTATCTGTGGTGCCACCAAAGGCAAGGAAAATCCTTGGACTTTGAGGGTGCGTAGACCCACTCCTTCCGAGGATTTGAGTGCTTACTGATGCTTACTGGGCTGTGTATGGCTGTGTCTCATCTCCGAAGTCCCATCATTGTGAGACCAGTCGTTTCGCACCTTCGCCTTCGCATCCAGCATCCCTTCCGCAAACTCGTGCACATCAAGCCCTGCACCGGCTTCAACCGCCACGAAGAGAGGTGGTGAGTCTTTGGTGAAACTAAGGCCGGACTGAAGAACATGAGAGAAGCTTATGATGAATCACAGGTCGGGCAATATAATTGTTGCAACAAGCAGCTAGCAACGCTTCTGGTTATAGCATTGGCAGCATTGCCTCTGCTTCCGGTAAAGCCGGATTGATGTCACAAGCCTTGAACGACAAACAACTTGCACTCCATCCAGTCCAGAAGACACCGTCATGAAACCTGATGAAACATTCTCATCATTCTGAGTTTCTGGACGCACATCAGCGCCAGCCCCCCCAAAAAGCCCCATCCAACCCCAACCAAAAGCCTGCGCTTGGCGCGCAGGCGTTGTTGGTGGTCAGTGCTCGGCCTGCCAGCTTCCCGAGCTCTGCCGCGTGCACTTTGTCCAGCTCAGTGGTGGTGGGCGAGCGGAACTCCAACGAGTCGGACAAGATGCCTCGCACGACGCGGGGTCCGAGGGGCGGAAGCCCGGGACAGCGCGGAGACTGGAAGGTCCGGAAAAACCGGGCGGAGACCGCTGACCGAGCTCCGGTTCTGAGCAGTTGGGACTTTGCGTGAACGGTGGCAATCCAGTCAGCAGTTGAATGTTCAGATTCCCTCTCTCTCTCTTCCACACTCAGGAGGAGCCCAACGAATCATGCGAGTTCAACCGCCCAGCGACCCCCCCAGCGGCCCCTAACCGCATCCGCGTCGCCTGAGAGCATCAATCCAGCCATCTGCTTGGTGGGCGTCAAGCCATACAGCTTCGAGCGCGAGTACAAAATGCTGGTGGCCGAACCTAGGAGGATGATCCCAGGAGCACCAGGATAAGCTGCGAAGGTTTTAATCGATCAGAGCCCACGCTGCTATTTTGTTAGAGCTGCCCGGAAAATAGCCTCACAAGCCTCGCCATTCTTCAACATTGGCCCTTTTGCAGCACACTTTGACTAACTTGTCGAGTTGAGTGAAGGAAGTGCTCTCACTAGTTTTCTAGTTGAGCTGCAATCCCCTAAATTTTCTGAAGAATGCACACTTGGCTTTGGATCAAGCACAGGTCCATCCAAGGTTGCCCGCCCTTTTCACCTTGGCCCAGCGGCAGAGGGGACGCATGTCAACTTCCAAAGGCTCGGCATTGGCTAATCCGCTGAGCTTGTGATGGTCCACAATTGAGTGGATCCGAGTCTTTTGGATACCCTCAGGACCAAAAAGCTGGACGGCGTTTTTTCGGCGCTTGAGTTGCGTGGGGGCCACTTTTGGGGGCAAAGATTGGTGGAGTTGTGCCATTGCATTACGGCGACGAGATTGATGGTTACAGTGGTGTTAAAGTGTTTTAAAATGATTTTAGGGATTAGATGCACACCACCTTCTGTGGATGATGAATTTTAGAGTAGTGATTGATGCCACCTTCTGTGGATGCATATGGATGCCCAAGTCTGGAACCAGCCTCCAAGCAATGCTCATTCTTGAGGGGATGGATGGCCCTAGGGTCCTAGGGGCGACCCTTTAAGCGGGTCAACCCTGAGAACCAGCACTGCAATCGGAGGGGGAAGTGGTGGGACCACCTCAAACACAGGAAACCAACAATGGGAAGGGCTTTTCATGCTTCTTCCGTCATCTGATACTTCTGGTCTTATGGTGAGTGGACCCCTCCTCAAGCTCAAAGACTCCCTGTCGGACCAAAACGGACACCGCGTGCCTCCGGAAGCTCTTCCGGGTTGTTGGTGTCAACCACGGCCACCTCCTTCGAGAGCTCCGGCAACAGGGGCGGCACCGGCACCTCCAAGGCCTCTCCAGCCCGTCCGTGGATCGGAGTTGCTGCGTTGGCTGGGTTGCTGGGGGTTCGATGGAGAGCCCGTCCGTGGGTTGGTGGGTTTTTCCACTGGTCGATCGGATGGGAGCAGAAAGAGCCGCTGCCAGCCGTGAGACATGGACAGTTCTGCGCCAGGGCTTCCGCATGCTTCCACGTGTCACGAAAGGCATGCGAAGGCGATGCCTTCGTCGAGGGGCACCCCGTCCGATGGCCACTGTGTCCGCCAAGCGGCTGATGGCGGTTGCATCGTTCAGTCTCCCCAAAACATGAGATGTTGCCAAGCCAGGGCTGAAATACTTTGAAGTCTGAAGTTTAGAGTTTAGAGTTTAGACATTTTAGATCATTTTAGACCTCTGAGTGCCACACAAACATATACCAACGATGCACCCGGATTTCATCCGCTGAATCTTTCGAGATACTCTGCCAAAAGATCTTGCCACTCCATGATTTATTGTCTACTTATAGGTCTTCCACAACCTTGTGACATAGAACACTTCTCCCACCAAATACTCGGTTCCAAGACGCAAAGGATTGAAGAAGCCCATGCATATCATGAGTAGGTGTCTCTTGGAGCTGGTGAAGCTAAATACTCTGCTGGCTTTGGCAGCTCAAGACCATTTTAAAGCTCTAGATGCTCTAGGATTGGGAAGATCTGAGGGACATGCGTGTGACTGCCACAGCGCGCTGACTCACTCAACCCACTCACCTCCCACTTCTTCCCACCTCTCCTCCCCTCTCACCGTGCCCAGTCACCGTCCCGCCTTCAGCACGAACTCCGTCTCTGGGTTCAGCTCCCCAAGGCGATAGGCCTGCGCCGAGATGTTCCGGGCGTTCAACTCCCAGGCGTAGACCTGGGCGATTTCGCAGGGAGGCCGAGGTCTAACGTGAAACTGGATCTCTGATTCCCTTTCTTCTTCGATTGGCTTGGCAGATGGAGCATAGCACAAATCAAGACGGAATTGTTCAGCACATGTTCTGCATGTTCCATCTATCAATGCCACCCAAGCCAGAGGGGATTCCGCGCCAGTTGGGCCGGAGCGGGTTCGCCGAGCCAAGCAGCGATGGCTGCAGTCACCGTGTCCGTGTCGGGGACCTGTAGTGCACCGCGAGCGGCGCGTCACGGCGCAGCGGGCGGAACGACGTTCGACCTGGATGCTGGCGCACCGTCACGACGTGCACCATGGTGCCACCACTGCACAGGTGTCCAAAAAGGTTCCACTCATGTCATGTTGCACCTTCTGCCGCACCTTCCTGTGCATTGCTACAGGTTGCCTGGGCAGGGGTTCCAGGTGCAGCTCGCTGCTCCCCCTGTGTCCGCCCTACCGCCTTGTGGCCGAAGACCGACAACGAGGCTGCAGCAGTGGCTGGCAGCAGGGCGCACCACTTCAAAAGGCCCATGGGCCGACCAAGCGATCGCCACGACCAAGCGATCTGGCTGCCGGTCGTGGGTCAAAACTGAGCCAAGCTGGCGATGGGGGATGGCACACATGCACATGTCACACCACCGCTTCGTGTTGGCTGGCAATCCGGGACTTCCCCGAAAAAAGGCGCAGTGAAATCGGGGAGATGGCTGCGAGGAATGGTAAGATCCGGGCTCACGTTTATGTTTCTTCATCAGCCTTCCACATGAACGAAGCCTTCAACATAGACAGCATCACTTGGAGCGTGGACAGCTGGGAGACGTGGACATCATCACGACTGGTCACCGGTCACCTGAAGCCGCCCACATTTGACCTAAGACGACTCACCCTGACCTGCTCCAGCACGAGCCCGCAGGTTAGGGCTCCGAAGCTGGAGGCTTCTCGGAATGGACGCTAAACAAAATTCCTCGGTGATGCTTCTCCGGCGAAATTGATGCCTGGTTGTGGCGGACGAGCTCCGGCCCACCACAGCACCCGTATCTGAGCTCCCCTGCCATCTCGCCGCCCAATGTTGGAAACAGCGGGGGGCGGTGGAGCCAAGGGCTAAAGCATGCTAAAGCCGGTGAACAAGACCTCTCACATCCCTTCAACCATTGCAATCCTTCGTGCAATCCTGCAAGGTGTATTGATTGGGCCACTGTAGTCTGAGATACATCTCCTGTTCTACCGAAACCGGGCCAGCAGGCCAACCAGGCAAGCTCACCTTTTGAGCGGAATGGGAAGCAGGAGCGGCAACGACACTTGGCGTTCGTGGCTCCAGAGTAGGCGAGGATTGGGGGTGGTTGGTCGAGGATCTCGGACGAATTCTAGGAATGGCGAGTCATGAGTCATAAGTTTTGTGGATTGACAGCTGCCTGGGATTCGCCCAGATCCCTCAAACATGGGGAGAAGCTGTCAAGCTTGTGCAACTGCTTCTGCAAAGGTTTGTCGGGAGCCACGAAGCCTACAGCTACTCACACCAGCTAACAACGGCTTTGTACATGCCCCGAGCCGCCAGAGTTGGCACAGGCTTTGTCCCCCTCCGTCCGAATCCCAATGTTAACGAACCGGCCTGCTGCATTCTGTGGAACTGTGGTGGCGGTCCTGCTGCCACTGAGGCCTTCCTGTGGGTGACGGAAAGGGCTGTGCAACTCTCCGACCAATCAAAGGCCCAACTTCTCTCGAAGGCCATCTTCGTCCAATCCTCAGCTTTATATCAGCGCTGGGGTCTTGCAGCAACAGAGAGCTTCCCAAACAAAACGACTCACCTTTGCAGGGAGGAGTTGCAAAAAGTCTGAACAGGATGTTCATTTTCCTCTAGTGGGGTCACATCCTCCATTTCCACGCGAGATGCTGCGGCGCACATCTATCTCTCTCTCTCTCTCTCTCTGTCTCTCTCTCTATGTATGTATATATATATATATGTACATGTATATGTGCATATAAACCCCCACATGAATAAAGAAGTTGATCCCCACATTCAGGAGCTATTGGAAAGAGTGCCACTATCTATTTGGAGACGACTTTATTTAAAAAACAAGCATGCACCTCCATGCATAGAGCCCCCCCGCACCATCACCCAGGTCAGCCGCTTCTTCGAGTCTGATGAGGCGCTACGAATCGATCCTTTTCGATGGGATGTGGATGAGACCCTGTGGACAGCGCCCTCTCTCTTCCAAAAAGACCCCAGATTCTTCCAAAGCTATTGCTAGATCTGGGTTTGGAGAGTAGGTTTGTGTATGCCCCTCTCTTCCCAAACCTAACTACTAAAATCAACAAAAACACATCCAATTGCTACATGAGATCGACCTAAGATCTAAGCGTGCCTAGCAAATCTGGCCTCTGCCCACATGAATGCTGTATCGATTCGATGGGTTGTGACATCCAGTGAAAACATCCATTCACAGCCATGCTGCGCGCTATCTTATTTTATTATCTCTTATTCATCTCATGCACTTTGGATAGGAAGATGACCAGAATCTACCTAGGTCATCGCACTTCTACAAACACGCCGCCTCCACGCCACCACGTCTCCGCCTCCTTAACAACGCCCCAAGCGGCGATAGACCTTCCCTGGCTGGAGCTCGGCTCCCGCAGCGTCGAACTGCCGCTTCATCCAGGGGTCGCAATAGGTGATCCACGCCTCGTGGAGCAGCTGCGAGGCCCGGATTGCTCCGATTTCCGACGAAGAGAGACCAGCGGATCCGGCAGAGTTCGGCGCTCCGAGAGTTCGGTGTTGCATTCCGGTGACGATTCGGACGATGAGCTTCTCAAAAAGCATCAGTCGGTCGATGACAAGGCATGTTGCGTGTTTGCCGGCCCAGTCCTGTGAGAGGGCTCGAGTTTCGCGGCTCGCTCCCTAAGACCACGCATTGACCAAGGGGCTGAATCAAGGACGCAGGTCACATCCTTGCACCTCGCGATCAACTGGGACTCCCCACATCGGATGCTCGAAGCATCATCTGAATCGCCAAGTCCTCCGTCTCCTGTGGCTTCACTTCGCGGTGTCTTTCTTCTGGCGGTCACGAGCCGTGACCGAAGACACAGGTTCCGAGTGGTGGATGAACGTTGCATGATGGTTGTTTTTCCACGGTTTTCCACCCATTTGCAGCCGTTTTGCGAGACCGACGCTCCTGGTCCACCGGCTCTTCCGGGCTTTCGGCGAGGTGAATCCCCAGCTGCTCCAGGCCTGGGGGAGGGGGCGGTGCTTCCGGAGGAGGCGGTGCGTTCGTCCGGGCCTGCAAAGACCCCAGGCAGGCCACGGGAAGCTGGAAGAGCTTCCCATGTTGAGGTCTCTTTGAGGCCAGGACTGGCAGAGTGAAGGTGTATGTACAAGGCATTGTAGGAGAGCATTGGGCATTGAGGTAGAAGGTGTAAAAGGTGTTCCCCTGAAAGCACGCAGGCTCAAACTCAATGTGCAACACCACAGTGGCGCGTTGGGCAACCGTGAGAACCGCAGCCCAGAGAGCAGCCACGCAGCCACCTCCCTGTGTCCAGGCGTCAACCGTGTGTGGACGGAAGGAGGCGTCGTTTCGCAAAGTGCTGTCAGCTTTTTCAACGAATTCAGCACGGAGTATTGAAGAACCAAAGGAGAGAAAATTGAAGAAGTTGCAAAGAACTGAGCTCTAAGCTGCCAGGGCAAAGGTCCAAGCAGAAAAAACGAGGAAGAGTTTAGCAAGGACAAGAAGCGTGTGCACACGTATGGTCAGTGATACACGTACAGGACAAAATAATCATAGATATTGAATACGGCAAAGGCGAGGAAAAAAAAAATCGAGGCCTGATGCGGGCCTGCCACTATAAATGTTTCAAAGCCAAACAAGGCAAGGATGGAAGAGAGCAAGTCACACGACTTGGAAACACATTGGCTGCGCACACCCAACAATGCAACAAATTGCTGCAACTCGGCCACAAACTGCAGATGGTCAATTCTGCAATCCTCCCATCTGCGGAATGAAGGCGATGCTCTTTTCATCTGCAACCCTTCAATTCCAAGCTGGCGGGTGACATGCCCCCAGTCGCCAATGCCAGCCCGGCGCAGCCGTTCTTCGGCGTACACCAATGTCTTCAATGCATAACTGAATTGTCCATCTGCGGCAAGCGGATGGGGCTTTATGCGCCAGCAGTTCTTGGCCTTTTTCTTCAGTGGAAGACGGCAAGCTCATGGCATTGCTGATAGAACGAATCAGTTCCATCAGCAATACCAGAAGCTTGCCGTCTTCAAATTTTGCCACAAACAAGTCTTGTACCTGTTCCGAGGCTCTCTTCTTGCTGGACAAGGATGTTTCCGCACCTCCCTCATCCAACGTCCCTTCGATGTTTGCCTCGGATTTTTGCTTCCTGCCTCTTCCTCCGCCTCCACATTCTTGGCAGGACATCTTGATTGAGATTCCTGCTTGGCTGTTCCTGAAAACTAGGCACAGATGTTGCGAGTGATCCATGTAAGAAGCCTACCCTCCCTGAAACAATCATGGAAGTGGAATACAGTGTTCATAGAGGAATTCAGTCTTCCAAGGGGCCATGTTCCACTTCCATGTCCATGTTTGTTGGATGGAGGGTAACCTTATGTCATCTTTCCTGTTCAACAGCATGCACGACCGCAATTGACTACACGTCCCTGGGTCGGGCGGAAAAGATAAGTGCCTGGGGCCTTCTGTTGGGCATCTGGGAGTCTCAGGAAGTCCCTGGCATCGGGGGGGCTTCCTACAGACGTGCTGACAATGAGAATACAAGCGCAGTAGATGCAAACCCAATTTGCCGGGGGAATCGCGCCCACAAAGCGGACCACTTGCAGCTGTTGCTCTTACCACCCAGGCCACATGTATCAAGTTCAAGTCGAAGTAAGGGGGCAATCCAGGACCCACCCAGTAGTGACCGACCAGCGAAGAGGAATCCGACCCCCGGAAGAAGCACCGCATTCGCCGTCCGGAGGCGTCCGGATACGTGTCAGAAGAGCGGCCTCCTTCGATGCCTTTCCAGTCGGCCTTGCTATAGACCACGAGGCCTCATTGCGGGGAACGCGCGGAACGACCGCATGACGCGGGGGAGGCGGCTCCGCCTCGCCCTCTTCACTCCTCCGCCCTCTTGACCGACTCCAAAGGTTGGAGTTAGGCCAACAGAAAGACTTCAAAGCTGCCAGGTCTTCCATGTCTTTGGTGGACCGGAAAACCCAGAAACAGACTCCCTGCTTTCTCCAGAAATCGGGCCAAGTCTGACTGAGGCCCCCAGGCACAGGTATTCCTTGGGATCGTCCGTTCCATCCATCGGGTCCAGCCTCAAAGCAGACACCGGCAGCAACCAAAGCACTTGCATGTCTGATTTGCACAGAACTGTGCAATGAACTGCTTTGTTTCACCCTTCTTTTTGCACAGCCGTGGTCTTGCCCTCTCTTCGTGTTGCCTCGTTTTCTTTTGTATGGAGTTGGAGTGCCCATGCTTTTCCGCCCACTTCGTGGCAGGTCGGCCCGGTGAAACCCACAGTGCCACGCCACCCGCTCAACACTCGCCGCTCCAGGCCGTGGAGGATGCCGAGAGTATTTGGGCTCCCCTGGCCCGGTGTAGTAGAAGTGAAACCGGAGCTCCTCCTGGAGCGGACGAATCGACTGGGCGCCAAGGTAGCCAAGGTAAGACGAAGCCTAAAAAGACCAAGAGAATAAATCAGATCATTCGTCTGAATTATAGGTGTATTTATCATTCTTTACATTAGGCTCTTAGTATATACGATGATATAATCTTCAGCTCATGGCACGGTGTTGCCAAGCTCGTGTGAGCAGTGCGTCAAGTCAATCCCTAAGAATGCCAAGTTCTGCAATAACCTCCTCGGTTACAAATGGAACCTCATCGAGTGCTTCCAGCCCTGCATCACCAAGATGGATGGCAAAAGCACCAGAGTATATGACTGCAGCTTAATAATTGAATGTCTGAAAGACACAGCTTCTGTGTCTGAAAAAAAGTTGTTGTTCTCCCTGAAACATCATGCAGTGATTGCCGTGTAGAAGGCTCCTGCAACTTGATCACTTCCAGGTATTGCTCCTCACCCACGCACACCGCGCGGGAATAGAGCTCCCGAGGCCACATGTTGCTGGCGGAGACGGGGCCGCTGTTTTGGGCTGCCCAAACGCGAGTCGGGTGGGGGAGAGACCTGAAGCTGGTCGTGGATGGTCATGGTCACCCAAGGTATAAAGGTCTAGGAGGGAAGAAAATGCTTTGGGATAGACCAACCCCAACCACGCCGCACCAGGTAGAGAAATGGACCAACAACTCCAGAACCCTGAGGCTTCAAGTGTTTGGACCCAAAGCAGTCGCCACATGTCGCCAGCTTCGCTCGACTCCTGTTGTTGTGGGCACCTCTACGGCACACCTTGAAACCGACTCTGCACGGGCTGGGGGAGGTTGCGTCCGGGTTCCCTAAGAAGTATACCCTGACATCGGTATCCCCGAAGTATACACTGGCAGTCCAAGACCTTTTAACATTGCTCTTGAGGTGGCCGGCAGTCCAAGATCCTTGAAATTGATGGCGCGCCAAAGAGGAGGTTTTGGGCGTCGGATTGCAGTGGCTGATGGGTGGCAAGCCTCCCCGTTGCCTTGACCGGAATGCCAGCGCAGACGGCTCCCGCCTCAAGCCGTGGTAGTCCATCATGTCGCCTTAACCATCAGGATCGGAGTCAGGGCTCCGTGGCTGAGGAGACATGAAGTAGACACAGTGAACTGCTCATGGCCTCAATGGCCTCCACGTCCCTCACAGTTGAGCCTGGACTCTTTGGGGACCATGCTTGCGAAGATGACGAAGTCCCACCCACCCTCTTTGGGAAACGGCGGGAACGCCTTCCACATCCTTCAAACGTCCACCCACCATCCGTCGCCAAGCCACGTGGGTGGACACTGACGGCTGCCTTGGAGCCATCCTTTCCAGGCACCTGGAAAGAGCGAAGAACGCCCCTCCAAGAAATGATCGGAATCTGACTGGGCGCTTTGGTAGTAGGGAAATGCCCAATGGATCCAAAGGAAACTTTTGGGGGGGCTCATTCCCTCATTCCCTACTGAGCACCAGTCAGTAATCAAAAGCCAAGTCAAAGCCGAGCCCAAGTATTGAACACCCGTCCGCTTCTCTTGCACATCGATTTATCCAGCCTCCCAGTCTTCGCACAGATAGAAACTCCCGGGGAGCCCGCACAGATGAGCGCATCTCATATCCCTCTCGTTGGATGGGCACACAGAGCAGGGAACCAGACTCAGATATAATTGCTTTTATGGTTTGTCGCCCTCTCTTCAAACCCCACGAGGGTGGACTTACTTCCTCCACCGTTGGATGTCCGGACACCGGGAGGCTCCGGGCTCCGGCGGTGACCGGGACCGGACCGACCCGCAGGTGGCCTCCCAATCTTCCACAGGGCCGCCGCTCCAGATTTGCGCCTCCTGGAGACCGCAGGAGGCCCAAGATCTGGGAGCCTTTGGCTGTGGGGAGCCAGACCTCGCTTGGCCTACCGACGTCAGGTGGTTCGCTACATGCAAATCTGTCTTTGACAGTTAGGGCAACTCTTTCACTCCACAAACGCCCAACAGGACATCCTTCATGATCTTCATGTCCACCACGATTCAACCAGTGAAGCGGAAAAACTAAAAAATCAGAACTAGAAACCCCCAGCCAGCATCGCCTCCAGCTCCTTCGCACCTCTCTTTCCGCTGGACCGGTCTCGTTCGCTTCCAACTTGAGAAGGAACGGGCGAAAGAAAATTCGGTCGATCAGTCGATCAGTCAAGTCCAGTCCGATACTCCCAGTCCTTCCACTTGGTCATGTCATACTCAAACTCCACCATGGCCGCCTCGTGGAAAACAGACGGGAGAAAATAGGGTGGCCTACGCATGGCCTGTCACCGAGCTGCGTGCTTTATCTTGTTTTTGTGGGCTTTGGAGCCTGGAGCCTGAACAGCCTCTCCCTGCTTGTATGCAGTTGAATCCAATTGCCAATTGGCCCTTTGGTCCTGCGGTGCGAAAATTTGCATCCGAGAATCCGGAAGATTGCCTGTCCTGGACGATCCCTGCTAAGGGTTTTGCCTTTCGTGGTTCGGCATGCTTCAGTAGGGGTTTCCTTTTTCATCATGTTCAACCAAATGAGCTCAGGCGGCTAAGGGTCTAAGAGTGCGCTGAAGCAGGGTCGAGTGTTCGTATCTACTTACTTGACCCTACTTGTATCACCTTTTATCATCTGTTATCCTGCACTTCATCCAGGAAATCGACCATCCACTTTAAAGAGCAGGACACATTCTCCCGACTGGTGCAGGAGCACTGAAGCCACCTAATGGGCAAACATCTCCAGAAACATGTTGCGCGTGGCGTATATCAGGCCTACAGGCCACAACATGCCACAACTAGAGTGCTATACTATATACATAGTGCTGCAGCTGGTGATGCACGGCAAACCACCCAGCTGGGGCAGATAAGCTGTAGGGATGTAACGGCACCACGGCCGCTTTCATGTTGCACAGCCCTGGTCCCAACCCACAGCAGCCTGGATGGGATGGATTCACGCCCGCACCCCTCACTGCCACCGCATTCGGGGCCCGACCATCACCTTGAGCCGCCCAAGGGCTTGGAAGAGCAAAACCGTTCCCGGACGGGCGCTGCCTGGGGCACCTCCAGATGGCCCCTGTTGACACAAGTGCCGGCGGAACAGAGACAGAGGGAGTAGGCAGTCTTGGGGCCTTGGGGGGACTATGCTCAAGAAAAGCAATTCGCCGGGGCATCAAAGCAGTCCAACTGTCGGTATACCGGTATACCTCCACTTCTGCACTGGCTTCAGGCCTTCACATGACTTCGGGCCACCAGCCTCATCTTCCCTCCCTGAGCAGCACTTTTCCGAGGTGTTCTTCGCTCGCCCTCAAATCAGCACCACCCGACCGGAATGGAAGGGTAGAAACTCCCACCTGGCCGGACGGCTCGGCTCGAAGGCCACTCGTAAGGCTCGGCTCGGCTCGGCTACTACTCGGTGCAGCTTGGAGACCACCCAACACTGGGCCGCTGGGCGGTGGGAATGTGTGAGAACAGGATGAATCCCGGATTTCCTGGATCTTGGAGTCAAACCAAGCCCTCCATCCCCCCCTCCACCACGGAGCGAGGTGCCAACACATGCCGGCGGAACGGGATGAGGAAGGGCCTGGCACCACCGTTGGGTGGATTTTCTTTGACTCTTCCAGAGTCTGGCTGGGTCTCTAATTTTGAGCCACCCCTGTACTATATCACAAAAGTGAACGGATGCTGGATGAGAGTGCTGCATCCAATCAACAACCACGACGACTAAAGGGGATTCACTGGATAAAGGTCCTCTATGGTCTATTGACACGATCTGGGTTCGAGAGTATATTTACTGAGTTCCCAGAGGCTCGGAAGCAATTCGCATCACTATGTGCCCTTCTTTTGAGAATCATGACGCCAGTCCGCAGCCCGCAGCCCTGATCCATGCGGTCCGCAGCCCGGGCGCCCCCGCGCGCGCGCCAGGCGCGCTTGCTGCTCTTCCGACAGTCCCACAGGGACGCCAGTGACCTGACTCGGAGCTCCGGTGAGGTGCAGACTTTACTTGAAGGACCGGAGGTGATGGAAGCCTTCCTGCCTCCCTGAGCCGGACAGTTCTGCACACTCACCGGCCGTTGACTGCCCGGCGGCCGAGGCACGGCGATCCGCGGCGCCCTTTTTCGGCGGAAGAGGCCGAAGTGCCGAAGGGCTTCGCTGTGCCAGAGCCTCGGGCGTTTCGGGGGCATGCCCCAGGTCATGGAGAACAGATCGGTTTTGGTGGGGTCAGGTGCTGGAGGGGCATTTGGTTGCGGTTGTGCCTTCCAACTTCTGGATGAGGCATCATAAGGCTCCGCTGCAGCCCAGAAGAAGCCGAGCATTTGATGGTCAGGTCGCCCTTGGTGGCTTATGTTGGTATCGCGGCATTCATTTTCGACTCCCCCGGGGATGTACACTGGTAGTAGGTGGCAGTTCGGCCGTATGCCGCATGGCGACTTGGCTTGGCACCCGTCAAGGCTTCACGCAAACCGGGAGAGATTGGTGTCATACCTTGGCCTTCACCAACCACTCACCATGCCCAAACCACCAGCGGCAAGCTAACCACCGGCCACCCTTCCAGCCACTATCCGACCATGACCGGGCGTGGTCTTTTTTCGGCCACCCGCCACCCGAAGCGGCACTGGTCTGATTTTGCTCATCGCTTCACGCCACGTCTTTGCTTCCAGACCTCTTCCATCCCTTTGAAGGAGACGCCGACCCAACTAGCAAACTCCTGGCAGGGCAGGTGCTGGAACTCGAAACCCGGCAAACGATTGCAAAAACACAACCGTCACCAAGCAAAAGTCCAAGACTTATATATATTCATATATGTTTTTTACATATCTCCCACACCGCACCCCGGCCCAGCCTGACACTCCCGATCCTCCTCTTCATCCTCGGCACCGCCACCCCTCCCATGACTCCACGGCGCCGGCAGCTCGTAGGCGGCGCTCTCGTAGGCGGCCACCAGGTGCTTGGCCACGTCGGTGGCCACCGCCGTGCAGCGCTCGCCCTGTAGGGCCCACTTGTCGGGATGCCACTTCCTAGCGCCGGTCGAGCAGAGAGGTCGAGCAGCGACCGAGATGACCCGGGCTTTTCGCAGCGACCGAGACCGTCTTCAGACCGTGGGAAACAGCGGGCTGAAAGGGAAGAAACAGATGGTGGTGGTGGAGCATCCTGGGTTCAAAGAAGATCATCTTCCCAAAGAGCCAAAGAAACATGGAGCAATGAAGCAAGGGCGTGACAAACCGCAAGGGGGTGCTAAGGTACATTAAGGTACTGTTGGTGGCCGTGAGGTTTGGGCTGACCTACAGGCTGGCAAACTGATTCGCTCCAAACCTGTTGACAAGTGATTTGCTCCAACCTGGCTCCCACCTGGCTCAACAAAGTTTGGCCTGTTCCGTCCTGGCCAGCATCAAGTAGGTCTTTCGCGCGGCGCGGCGATCAGTGTGCTGCCCCAGCCATGCTTCGCAGCTGGGCCGGCTGCGTGAAGGCGGAGGCCCCTCCAGCAGCTCCAGGAGTTTTCGAGGGTTTTCCTGTTCGAAACGCCAACACGCCAGCTGAGACAGAATGTTTTGAAGAATCTCATCGACATGTTGAGATGGATGGGGTTTTCGAAACACTCTTGAACATTACACTGCGCATCCCTCTCCCCAATGACCCCAGAACTCAACTGCCACACCGCGCAAACTAAATTCTCCAAATGTGCTTTTTTGGTCATGCCCGTCATGCCCTCTCCTCCCAATCCATGTGGTGTGTAGCCAGCCCTTGGCACATCTGCTCGACAGTGCAGACCCTCTCACGGAAATCCTTCAGCTGCTGCTCTTTCAGCAGCTCCTTTTGCTGTTCCTTCTGCTTCCGTGCCTCCTCTGCCGCCTTGAGAGCTTGACTTAGCGGAGTCGAGTGGCCCACTGCGACCGAAACGTGGTCTAGGTTGCTTCATAGCAACTGTAGTTCCCTGCTTGGCAGTGAGGATGCTCCGGATCTGTACATAGCAACGGTGGGTGTCGGCAGAAAGTATAGAATCGCCGTGCGCATCTTTCACCTGGGGTATACTGTTGATCCCTAGTGTTCTGTACACACATATAACATAACTGTAACATAACATACATGTTCGATTTCTATCGGTTCTTGTTGGCGTGTGTCCATGCCGTTCAGGTGCCAACTCTGTTTTTGCCAAACCCTGACACGTGGTCACAGTCATCAGCTTTGAGATCAACGGTGGCCTTGAACCTCAAGCACACACACACACACACACACAGACAGGTCCTGTGAACTCGGATCAACATCTTGAACCTGCTTCCACCCCAGCCACCGGCCACATCACCCGCCCTCCCCAGGGCCCCGCAGCGCCCCGCAGCCTGCCGCTTCCGCTCCTCCGTCTTCCGACGATGCTCCTCCTCCAGGCGTTCCTGCGCCACGCGCTGGCGCCACTGCTGGGCTCTCAGCCGCCCCAGGCGACCGCGGAAGAATGCCTGGATTCGCACGGCCGCCGCCACCTCTCCAGGGGGCTGGGAAGCTCGAGCCCACGGGCCCTTCGGTGCCGCATCCGGCTGACTGGAAAGCAACAGACGATCCTGCCGGCTCCACCATTCTTCCACTAAAACCGGCCCAGCGGGCTCGTTTCCACGCATGCGGTTGTGAGCGTTTTCTGGAGCTGTGCTTCTTTCATCTTCTCTCAAGTCTCAAGCTGATGAATGTGCTGTGGGCCACCCATCGCCCGACAGTTCAGCAACGAAACCTGGATCAGAGACAGACTGGGGATCAGGGAACGGGAGCAGCTCCATCAATGTGTGCATCTAAGTTGGAACGCCCCACGCCCCGCCGTCTCCCCAAGGCCTTCGGATCCACGGCGCCCGACCGCGCCGGCGGCGCTCGCGCGCCGCGCGGAGCCGACCGCGCCGGGCGTCCGGAGGCGCTCCGGCGCGGGGGCTTCGGGGGGGCCTTCGGCATGGCATGGCCACCCAACCAGCGGCGGGTGGCCGGTCTGAAGGCAGTTGGCTGGGGGCGGCGTGGCTGGGAAGCTCGGCTGTGGCGGGTTGGTGTCGGAAGTCTTCTGAGAAGATGGTGACCAGTGACCATGCACCGTCTTCGGGTTGTACTCTGTTCGGCAGGACCTGGATGGAAATCTCACAGCTGTGTGGTCAACACACGTCGCTTGGAGAAACACCTGGTTCTGGGATTTTGCGGGAGCAGAAAGATGTGAATCAGTTCCTACAATTGGCTTTTGGCACAATCTGCTTTGGCTGGAAATGATCGCGGTGCATCAGTGGCGCCCCGGTTCGATCAACGAAACGACCCTTTCTTGTGTACTGTATACATTATTGGCGCAAATATTTCGATTTTTATGGAAGTCTGAATGCAGTGGGTGCAAAATCCACTACACAAAGCTGGACAAACAGCGCAGCATGTTTTCCAGCGCAAGCTAAAGTGAAAAGCGAGGCTCTGTGCGCACCTGATCCGTAAGGGATGGCGAGCATTCATGACATGCGCTCATGAACTGGTGGTCGAAACTTCACACTCCCAATACTCTGTTGGCATGAATGCTTATTGGGATGCTTCGCCACTTCCCTCAACTGGATCCACGGGTGCCGAAGCCACTCCATGAAACGCTCGATGAGCTTGTCGCTCAATTTGGTGAGCGTGTCAGCCCACTGGAGATCCGTCGGGACCCAAAACACGTCTGGACGACCAAGGTGTTGTTGGATGGCCCTGATGACAACGATCGTGCGTTTGTCTTCTGTCTTGGGGTTCTCCGAAATCAGCACGTCGTATAAGCTACGGCAGTCCGTAACACCAATGGTTCGAAGGGTCCGCTCCAGCTTGAAGGCCTTTTCACGGAACATGACTTCTGAAAGCAAGTAAGCCATGTACGAGGCGCGGTCGATGGCCATGTCGCATGCGCTTGCTTCTGCAGACAATGTCGACCGGCAAACTCGAGTCGACCTTGAACTCTTCCAGTCAACCAACAGCCCGGTGCTCACTGCATCAGTGCATTGCGGCTCAGCCAAAAGGATCAATGAGCCGTGCTGTGAGGAAGAGCCTTCTGCGTTGGCCCATGAGCTATCGCTGTAAGCCACCACCAGCGTCTGCGGTGAAATCTTCACCGGCCACATGCAGATGCCATCGGACTTCGTGGCATGCAAATGCTCAACTGCACGGTACAGGTGGTGAAGGTCCTCGTAAGTCGACTTTGTGCCCTTGCTGCATAGCGACACGATGCTTGCCACATCCGGCCTTGTTTGGCCTGCCACCCATTGGAGTGAACCTCCAACCGACCTCAGCTCCGGCATGTCCTGAGGTTCAACCAGCTCTGCAAATCGCTTCTTGCATTGAACTGTGCCTGTTGCAATGCTCTCGATAAAGCTGGCTTGAGACAGCTTCAGAAAAGTTCGGCCATCATCACTCTGGTGCAAACTGATCTGCTTGCCCTTGAATGTCAGGGGGTTGCTCAATGTCAACTCTTCTTGCGATCCCCATCGAAACAAATCTGTCAACTCTGAGCGGTTCCAGCGGCTGTCGTGGCACAACAGAAAATCATCAACATATGCCACCATCAATGCAACCAATGTTTCACGCTCTTGACCGGGCAACTTGCTGTACTTGTAAAAACACATGCGGTCGAGGCTGTGCTGTGTGAAGCCTGCTTCCTCAGTGACTTTCTTCACAACGTGGAGTCCCCAAGTTCGTGGTGCATTGGAGAGCCCATAGATGTTGCCGTTCACCAAGTAGAGCTTGGACTTGAAGGTTCCAGCTCTGGCGGTCACGCCATCTTGTGGCGGCATGAGGTACAGCGGCTGGCTTCTCTTCTCTGGGGTGCCTTGAAGGAAGGCGGTTTTGACGTCTCCTCCCCAGAGACACCATTTTGCACTGCCATCCATGAACATCATGTTGAGGCCGCTAACAAAGACAGCGTAAACAAGATATTCGCACTGCCTGGTGGGTGTAGCTGACTCACGGCTCAACTCATGGAGATCTGGGTCACAGTGGCCGAGTGCTACCACTCTACACTTCGCACGAAGTGGTGGGACACCTTTTGACTTGTCCCTGTATGCTGCTCTCGCTCGGAGGATGCGTTTGCGCAGCTGGGGATCAGACATGATCCTGTCGGCCTCCTTGTCATCGAGAGGGATGACGGAGTTGAACTGCTTCCAGGATGTTTCCTCGGCTTGAGCACTCTCGATGAACTT